CCTGAAATCAAATCAAACTGTTCATCTTTTAACGTTTCAACAACTTGAATTGTAAATCTTTAAACACTCGAAGACAATTTACCTCTAGCACTGTAGCACCCCATCTATATGCTCCCAAATTATTGCATTCCTTTGCCAAACACAGCAGCCCAGAAGCAAGCCCATAGTGCGCAGAGACACTTTTGGGAGAAATCTCTAATGCTTGCTGAAATGCCTCAACTCCCTTCACATAGAAACACCGCCACATGAGATATATTTTATAACACAGCACTTCAAATATTATGGGAAAACTCCAGTATAATCTTATATGCTGCAAACAATCTGTTCTAACAATCAGCATAACTACACCTGCAAGTCCAACTAATTGCTCCTCACCAACTCTATTACAAAATTGAACCCATTTTAGTACAAAAATTCTGAGAGGAGAAGTAGACTAAAAAAAAGGAACCACAACTCAAAAGTACAAAAGAAAATTAAAAAAACATGTAAGTGCTGAAAAATCAACTATACCTATATTAAAAGAACAACTGTAAATACAAGATAAATGCTACAACATTGTGGTTGATGAAAATTATAAACAAATAAAACAATGTTGGTTGGAGAATCACCACGAACAAAAGGAAAGCTGACCTGTCGAAAGGAACCAAGCATCAAAAAGATGTTTCCGCTTTCAAGCAAAGCAAAGATTCTTGTACCCTCCAATTCAATGGCTCTTCCATAAGACTGTTAGAATGGCGTAATATCAATGATAAAAATTATATTTAAAAGAGGAATATAACTGGAGAAGTATCAATTTGAAATTCAGAAGACAGCAGATAATATCATGCTTTGGCAAAGAAAAAAAAATCAAACGTTGCTTTAATAATGGAAAAGAAGAGAAAGATAAAGGGAAAGGAACCTTGAGAGCAGCAGTGAACCTGCCTAGTCGCTGGTAGGCAAGGCCAAGAGCCTAAAACAATAATTGAGGAAGGGTGAGATAGGTACACTAGTAAGCAGAACAGAAAGAAAGATAATTAGCGTAAAAAAAAACAAATGTGCATTGATAGGGATACCTCCCAGAGATGTGGAGAGGTAGGATAGCCTCGGATGGCATGTTGAAGACCGTGGACAGCTTCAGAGCATTTATTTTGATGGAGTAGCAAGTAACCGAGTCTTTGGAAAGCCCAAAAGGCCCTGGGGGATTTTTGGGAAGCCTCCCGGCACACAGCCACCTCCAAGCTCTCCTTTCCTTGCTGGTCCAACAAATCACACAAGGCTTCCCCAGAGAGGGAGTCGTCAGGATTAAGAGAGACGGCTTTCTGGAAGCACTTAAGAGCTCTCTGGCTGTGGGACTGGGAGTCTAGACCTGCGTAATAAATCCCTAGATATCTGAATGCCCCTCCCTTCTCAATCTCAGGCTTCAATTTCGCTGCTACTACGAATTGTTCTGCCGCTTTTTCCTTGGCATCCCACTCCTCCCACAACAACAGTCCCTAACATTTATTCATCATTATTTACTGACTTATTGATTAAGATTGTAAGATGAACAAACAAACTAGAACAAAAGGCAAATCAGCATCCAAATTCTCATATATAAAAAATGAAAAAGTAATTATTAAGTTTAAGTGATGATTACTCACGAGTTCGAAGCGAAGGGAGGGATCATCTGGATGGGCCTCTATACACTCCTCCAAGCGTCGCAGCTCACATTCCTTTTCTTGTTCCTGGAAAAACCCTATTTCAGTCAACTTTCCATTTTAGTAAATAAATTTGAAATTTCCAGTAGAGCCACAACCCAGAGACAGGCAGAGGAGAGAGAGGATAGTAAAGAAAGAGACCGTTTCTTGCATTGCATTTAGGAATGTCTTCGAATTTCTTCAATGATCAAACCCCAGTACAAAACCCTAGACTCCGCTTACTTGAAAATCAATTTCAATTTTGGAGCTATAGGGATAAAATACAGACTCGAGCGCTCCAGTCTATATGACGCTTAACTTCCAGGCTTTTCCTACCTTCTTGCCCGCACACAACTGATTCTCGGTTAACTACTTATTTCCTTGTTTTCTTTGTCAATTAGGCTTTACGCCCTAAGACATTCGTTCCTATCTTTTAAAAATAGTGAAAATAACCATGCTGACAACAGTTACAGTGTTAGTCCATCCGTAAATCTGATCCTCAATTAAAGCATTATTCTTTCACCGGATATTTAGTGCCAGTTCGGCATTACTTATTTGGGGTGATAAGTGATTTTTAAAAAATTTAGAGAAGTCCAACCCGTTTGGTAAACTATGAGAAAATCACTTATTGTTAAAAATTGTTGTGAGAGAAAGCTATAAGGGAAAGCAGCTAATGAGGTGCTTTCATTTTTTGATTATGCAGAAATCAGTTTCGAAGAAGCAATGGGTTTAATAATTATGCGGCAATCATTTTCTGATTATGCGTAAAATCAATACCAACAACACTTTTAACAAAAATTTTACCAAACGCCAAACTACTTTCTCTCACAGCTGATTTCTCTCACAGCAAATCTGACAGCGATTATTTTCACAGCACAACAATGCCAAACTTGCCCTTAGTGCTCGTTTGGCATTGCTTATTTAGGGTGATAAGTGATTTTTAAAAAAAATTTGGAAAGCCCAGCCTATTTGGTAACCTATAAGAAAATCACATATTGTTAAAAATTGATGTGAGAGAAAACTATAAGGGAAAGCAGCTAATGAAGTACTTTCAATTTCTGATTATGCAGGAATCAGTTTCGAAGATGAGTTGAGTTTAATGATTATGTGTGAATCATTTTCTGATTATGTAGGAATCAGTACCAACAACACTTTTAGCAAAAATTTTACCAAACGCCAAACTGCTTTCTCTCACAGCTGATTTCTCTAACAGCAATTATTTTCACAGCACAGCAATGTCAAACTAAATGTTCATTTGGCATTCATTATTAGTAAATTTAGGTTTTAGCCACACAAAAACTTTCACTTTTGGAAAAAGCCAAAACTTTTTCAAAAAAGACAGAAAAACTCATCAACTTTCAAACCAAAGACATTCAAATGTAAAGAATTCCTTAGGAAATCCATAAATAAATAAGGGCATTTTTGTCCATTTTGGCTTCTTTTAAAAATATTTCTCTCTCCTTTGGCATTTTCCAAAATGTCCCTTGATTATTTAGGGTGATAAGTGATTTTTTTTTAAAATTTGGGAAGCCTAGTCTGTTTGGTAAACTATGTGAAACTTACTCGTTAAAAATTGTTGTGAGAGAAATCAGATTGAGGAGTGGACCTACTTTCATTTTTTGATTTTGCGGAAATCAGATTTGAGGAGGCGCTAGGTGTTTAATGAAACTTTCATACTTCCAAAAATACCCTCATTTAATTTCATGCTATCTCCTTCTGCTCGCTCATGCTTTAGTCTTGCTCTTTAAGTTCACGCCCTCTCTTCCCATTGCTCTTATCTTCTATTCGAACTTTTTTTTTCTTTTTTTGGATCAATTGAAGCAAAGCCACAAGAATGAGGTACTTCGAGTTATTTTTTCTCAATTTCATTATTCACATTCCTGCTTTATGATGAATTTTGTACATGTATTTGTGATGAAGTTTTGTTTAAATTGTTAAGCCAAAATCAAAATTAATCTATGTTTTTGTTTTTGTTGCTTTCACTACCATCTTGTCGTGTTTGGTGTTTGGCGTTAAGGATGTTTAGGTTTTAGGGCTACGGTTAAAGCACTGGCTAAAACCCAATCATGTTTACTGAGAAACAAAGGAATTATTCAATTAGTAGTAGCTCCACTGGTCGCCCTTGACGAATCTATTTCAGCCATATGGGAAGCGTTGAGAAAATATAAATTGGTGATCTTATCAAATTGGATGCTAAAATATGAATATGGTTTGAATACTTTAGGTTAAGTTGTATTCTTCTCCATAAGGAAGTATATATAGAAGTTTACATGAGTACTTTACAAGGAAATAGATACAGTAATCAATTAGGATAGTATCTCCTAATAATACAATGTTTTGTCAATTATATAAAATAGGTTTCGAAAAAAAAAGAAGATATAAAGTAGGAAAGTAAATCTTTTTGATTAATTAGGAGACTTACGTCAACACTCCTCCTCAAGTTGGTGCATATACATCACCAATGTCTAACTTGGTAAGTGAGTCATAAAATGCTCTTCTACAAAAAGCTTTTGTAAGATCTGCCAGTTGATCTTCTGATTTTACGAATGGTAGGCAGATGAACTTTTTCTCAATTTTTTCTTTGATGAAATGTCTATCCACCTCCACATGTTTGGTTCGATCATGTTGAATTAGATTATGAGCAATATCGATAGTTGACTTGTTGTCACAATACAACTCCATTGGCTTTTCTAGTTTGAAGCCCAATTCTGTCAAGAGTCTTCTGATCCACAATAGTTCACAATAAATCTCCTTGATTAATTTGTTATGGTAAATCTTAGAAATGATCTTGTAAGAAACATTAAATTAAATTCACTTATCAGGACTTTCCACTTGCGGAAGAAATGTCAAAAATTCTTATGGAGCCTATTTGGAGAGAAAATTCCAAAAGTAACCACTTGTCATTTTCTAATTGGTTCTATATGAGTTTTTGTATAATATGTCATGCTAAAATGAACTAATTTATAAAAAAAAACCTATGCAAATTATTCTATGTACATATGTGAAGAAGTGAAAAAAAAAAGTTTAATTAAAGATATATGATGCAAAGTTGTGCCCCTTTATTCTCGTCACTATACAGTAATCAAATGTATAAGAGAATATAAAGCAGCATGTGTAGTAAGTATAAAGCAGGCTAAAGGGGGAGTGGGGGAGAGATTTGAACTGACATGGTGTAGGGTTAAATACTGTGTCTCCTGCGTTGGAGCTATAATATAAAAGCAACATTTGGATCTGTCAAACGGTAATTGCCAAAGGAAGGTTGGGGCATGCAGTTCCGAATTTCTAATCAATTAATGCAGAACTCATAGCAATATTTGTGCATTTCATATGAATCAATCTCCTCTCCTACATGCGGACTTGTGCGATCAAAGTGCCTATTGAACTCGCCTCCTCTTTAGCAACCTCCACAAATCGATCCTGTTATATGAAACCCGAGTCATCAAAATACAAAAACACACATATTACGAATATCTGGACGTTATTATTGTGTGAACACCGTATATTTTTTTATTATTCTTCCCTAATTTCCTTTATGTTTACAATGGCGTATGTACGGTAATAACGTCCAAACATCCACAGTAATATGAGAAAATTGGAATGTTATAGTATATACATGCGTAGCTATCATCCGCCCAACTGTTCTCTTGCTAGACTCTTGAAGCTCGCCAGCAAGCAGAAGCTCATCCAATATATAGTAAGCCTGCAAATATACCAACCTCCATTAAAGTTGGAAAATACATAAGCCAATGAAAGGGGATATAAAGAAGGATAAAAGGAATACCTTATGAAAGTTGAAAATCAAGTCTAGCTCACAAACCTATTTAACAAGAAGAATTAAGCATGGCATAGTTAAATCAATTGAATTCATCCCAAGATCACTAATAGTAAAAAAATCTTTTATTTGTTGCAAGAGCAAAGTTAATAAAGCTCACGCTGCCGAAATAGCGATCCAGTATCTCAACATAATGGTGAATTATTTCAAGGGTCTCCAGTTCGTTATCGTTCTGGTCAACACACATGCAGAAATAAAGGCTGGCATATCTGAGCATGATAATCCGCAGGAAAAAAACGAGACAATTATGAATCTTCAAGAACAATATTACAATGTGCAGCTTTGATTTGTAAATTAATTAAGGACTAATTAAATATGAGAGTAGCTGGGAAAAACAGCAATCTTGTACCTTTTATACACAACTTTAAACCCCCTCCACTCCACAAAGTTGCACAACTTGGGGCCCCGATTGAGTATTATGCCACTCAGTTCCCGCATTACCTTTTTCTCACAAAGTTTGCATGTTTGCATAAGCAATGCATTGTATATAAGCAACAACATTTCCACACCAAGATAAATCCAAAATCTATGCCAACACCGTCACACAACATGTAGGATTGACGATACAATGACCTGTTTAAGAATCTTATAGCCAATTTTACCACCTACAAGTGCTTTTAACATTTTGTTTTTCCGGCCGCGTCGTGGTTTAAGTTCTAAAACCGACGTCTAGGCGACCGCCGTGGTTTAGACAATCATTTCCCATCCAAGTCTACGTCATTTCCCATCCAGAAGTATTTCTAGTTAGCTGAAAACGCCTAGATAAGAAAAAGTGTATCTAATTTCATAAGGAGACATCGTTAGAAGTAAAGTGACTGGTACCTTAGATCGTTCCTTCTGGGAATAGGGTGAAAACCATTTGGTCAGCCTCACTTTTCCTTGTCGACTAACAAGAATGACAAAATGAATCTGGAACAATTCAAAAAGCGGATGGAAGCTGTTAAACTAATTATCCATATGGATTAATTCAAGAACTAATTAAAGCAAATGCTTTTGAGAAAATAATAATATTATAGAGGGATTAATTGGTTAAAGAAATCATGCGTAGCGTAGCAATGAAAATGTTTGAGATCCAGTAAACAGAAATGAACAGACGTAATTACCATTGCTAATGAAGAAGCAAGCGTACTCTTTCTTTTGATGCTCTTGTTTTGTGTAAATAATCTTAATTAGCAAGTTTAATTATATATATTTATTATTTATTATACATGAGATGTTATGTTAGACTAGACTCACTCAGGGTCAGGGTAAACGTAACTGACGGAGGGGGGCCGTTGTGCTACAAATTTGGATTCAAAGAGTCGGCCGATTCAACGGAGTGCACAGAGAAGAATGCTGCAACCATACATTGGATATTAGTATTACACAGGCTGGCCAACTCCAACATTTATAATCGTATAACTTTTTTGCTTTTTGGAAAATTCTAGGGATACCGCATTTATAATAGAGGTGAGACGCATTGTATTGATAGGTTTCACCTTTATTAGAGAGTTGGTTTACAAGGTTGTCTAATAATGTCGTCTCCATAGCATCACCCTTTTTTTTCTTTTTTAATACAAACGATATTGAAGACGGAGAATCAAACCTAGGACCTCAGGTAAATAAGTAAATGCTTTTAACTACTTGAGCTACAAGCCCTTTGCTATAACTTTATCAACACGTTTATAAGTTTACTTTGTAAGAATCTTTGTCCATAGACGAGTCTGAAAAACTATTTTCAACCATGATTCACCAGCGAATGCCAGTCAACAGCAGCAACCACAACCCTCTCCTCTCCAGTCCACAACAATCTCTGGAAGGATGGAGAGGTTCTTTCGGTCCTTGGAAATAGTCGGTTATTGGTTTTTGCTGCATGATTCTGCCCAAAATCCAAAAGGATATCCAAAACCACAAGGTATTCTTAGAAAACTTTATTTAGAACAAAGTGATTCAATTTAAGTGGATGGTGAAAAAAATTCTGTACTTAATTTCCTCAATCCAACTCTGTACAGATTAACATTTGCCCTTTATTTGTGGCTCCTATCAGAAACAAACACTTCCTTGCTCCTCTCTAACCACACTGAAGAATTAGAAAGTTAATTTTACGTTGGCTAATTCCTCATGGATTACATACCGAAAGGTTGAACTTTGAGGTAGCCATGTATGTATTTGTCAAGCTTTCCTGCCATGCAGCTTCTGATAGCGTTCTTTTGAATGTCTGAGAGACAATCATTTATTTCCTCCAAGAGCCCTAGCATACCCAGTGACATGTCTTTTGCAAAGTAGTAAAGAATTTTTGGGAGGAAAAGCTTTGTCTCCTTGTACATATAGACATTAGCTTGAATGAATTCTTTTTTAGCAAGTTTCAGGTCCTGAAATATGCTATTCGCTCTGTATGCTCGAACCTGCATCCAGTAAAGCGGCACAACTTCAGACAAAGCTAGAAACAGATGCATAGAAAAGGCCACAACTATTTCTAGGCATAGATTTAAATACAAATGTCACTGAAAAATAGTTTCAACATGAGAAAACTGATACCGCTGGGTCAGAGTACGCCCCTGAACATAGAGCAAAATGGACTAGTGGCTCAGGGTATTCTAACGCATATGCATGTCTAATGCTCCCTGTCTTCAACTTCCTTCCTGAATGGAACAACGTTTGTAGCCACTGCATTTACATAGTATGAAGAAAGGCATTATAAAGTGAAATTGTTCCCAGCATGGCCAATGAAATTGTGAAATGCTGGATAGGCATCCAATTAGCTTTAAATGATGGTTACTCGACATATAATAATTGAAAGCTCCTTGAGGATAATGGCATGCTATTCAGTTATCCATAAGGACAACAAAAAGCACCTCCAAAATGAGGATGCTCAAACACTCAGTAAGGATATTAATAGGCAGGTAATTTTAGAGTTTCTTGGCCCTTTGTTCACAATGGTGTTGCAGACTAATTCTAGCTCAGAGGCCTAATTTTTTCAAGAGCATAGAATCACCAAAACTTGTTCAATACTACTCAACTAGCAGTCATAAAATCTCAAGATTGGCTTACAGGATGTGTTGAGATTCATAAAGCACGCAGACCATATGAGGTAAGTAGGGTTTCAGAGAACAGTGCATACCCGTGCTGAGTGGTGTGCTCGAATTCCTAATATGGAGCTCTGTATGATATACGCATTTATGCAATGTCCACCTATATTGTATGCTGCCTGAAAATGGGATTTAAAGGACACAAGTGTGTTTACTGGTGAGTCCCATATATCATTTTAATCACAGTATACTATAGGATGGGACTTTTACCTTTAAAATTGAAGTACTTTTCACACGGCTGTGAGTTCCATATGCCAGGTATGCCTGCAAAGAAATGTCATAAGCCTCACCAGACGTGCATTTACACCTATGAAGAATATATTCGTACAGTTTTTATCATTATGTAATATTCTTTGAATAGTTGAGCAAATACCATGACTTTCTTGACATTTCACATAAACCTATCTCTTAGAAAAGTAATTATTGTGTTACTAGAATATCCCCTTTTTTGATAACCATATGCCTATAGAACAAGTCAACTTCAGAGTAAAAGTTTTCAATATGAAGTTATGAACTAAAGTTTTATTGTACAGAGAAAGATATAATGGAAAGAAATAAAAAAGGTTTATAGTTTGAACATCTGGAGCCATACATGCATCACCAAGGCATTGTGAATGTTAATCCAGAACACAAGCTTCTCCTCACGCTTCATCTTTAGGACATCAACCTTCTCTAGACTTCTCACCAATGACCTATAAAGCATTGAAGCATGTCACATTTGAAAGAATCACAAATATAAAGAAGTTTTGAAATCACAACCACAAATTATATTTTTCCCCTTTTCTTTTTTCTTATTTTCTAATGATCAAACCAACAAAAAATTTTGAGCTTATACCAACCTAGATTTATCATAAGGAAAAAAAAAAATCATATTGAGGTACATGTGCGCAACCTGAAATTTTGCAGCATCATAGCAGCATAATTGAAGCTGTCATCGTCTAAACATATCTTCAAAACTTCTATCATTGTGGCATAGGGTCCACTGTTTTCTTTCAACCCTTGATGATGCATTGTAGCATCCTCATTGCAATGTGGACTCCAACTATCACAAGGATTCTTAGAAGAAAATATACTTGAGGAGGACAAGGAGGAAGCAGGCGACGCTGACGAGCACGTGTGGGTTTGGGGATTGGCAAGTTTGCAGTATATAGAAGAGATGCATCTTACAATATCTTCAGAAAGTCTATCTGGAGTATTAAGGGTACTATCATTGTGAGTCTCACCAAGATGATCAGCTAGGCTGCGATGACGAGAATTAATTTTCCGGTCCTGCAAATGCATAAATTTTAATTATAAACAAATGATAGCTAGGGAGAAAATAAATAGGCACAATAAAGTAAACTCCCCTTTAGCCCTTCAAAAAAGTAATTTTAAATGTGTATGAACAAATTAATATCTAAATCTAATCTAGATTAGCAGGCAATTTACCCAGTTAGATGAGGCTTTTATGCTAGTGGCACTATTCCGATTATCTGAGCTGACCCGGCGATGTGCAGGGGAAGTTTGATCATGATGGACCACTCCACCTCTGTGCACTTGCAGCTCCAATTTGGAGTGTCCCGTCTTAAATTGTAAATGGCTTTCTGGGGTACTCGGCAAGGCACATCCTTGAAAAGCTGTTCTATATAGTGAAAGCAGATGACGTTCTAAATGCATAATTTCAAGCTCAAGCGTGGCAATCTCCTCCTTCAGCTCCATGGAAGACTGTTTCAGAGCCGAAACGCCCAAATACAAATCAAAACAAACAAACTAATGCCAAATGTAAAAATTAAAGCACACTAACAACATTTGTTAGAATATGAATGCATTATATTTGAAACAATAGGAAAACTAAAAGGTGTCAGGAATGACTTGGGAATGGTAGTTGGAGTAAAAAATCACTGCAGAGAGAAACTAGTAAATTGCTCTGCTGAAATTACAGCAAACAAAGACCACGTAAACGAAAGACAAAAAAAAAAAAAAAAAAAAAAAACAAACAAACAAACAACCTTTGGTGTTGAAGCAAAAGAGTTGATGATAGTACAACCCTGTGCCTCCTCGGAGTCACAACAAAGGGAATCCTTGTTAGGTAAAGTCCTATCCAACTGTACAATCTGTGTCAAAAGATACAAAGAATGTCTCAGTATTGCTCTAGAGGCCAAGATCAACCATGAATGCCTACTCTTTCTTTTCCCCGTTTATTTTTGGTTATGGTCATTCTTTAGTGATATAGCCTATTTTCAAGCCCTTCATATCCTAAACATGGTGTGCTGAATCAATTGAATTCAATAAATAATATCAAGCATGAAATCTTGGACTCGTGTAGCAATTTACTATTTTCTCCAGTTTGGGAGCTTTTATCTTGTACGTAAGTGCTCTAGCTAGTGCTTTGACTAGAATCCATGAAATGAACCTATGTCTTAAAATCCAAATTTCTCAAACCAAACTAAATTGAGAAGGAGGGGAACTGAGTTGGAACCCCTTCTCCCAAATTGAAGCAAACTTATGATTAAACAATGTTAATAGAAAGAATCACAAGCATCAGATGAATCACCTAAACTGCAAGGGAAATAGCGCTACTTACAGGGTTGAAGTAGGAGAAAAGTGTAGGTGACATGTTAACTAGAACCCCATTGTCAGGTCCGCTGCAATTTCACCAAACCAAACCAACATTAATTAATTAATTCCAGAACAGAAAAGACTCAATCAAACCTTTAAAATCCTGCAATTTTGTTTTACCTTAAATGGGAGCCCAATGGTGGAGGAGGAGGACAAGTGGAAGAGGAAGAGCTGCAATTCACAGCCAGCATCTTCTGTCTTCGTCTGTTACAGAGTATGAAAAGAAACAAGTCTTTCTGATTAAGAATCTGAGAGAGGGAGAGAGAGACTAGTCAGCATAAAAAAGGCAACAAATTTAGAAGAAAGAGAGGGCAAAATTGGAGAATGAGATTACAAATTGGACAATGAATTGGAAAGTGGAGCAGCATTAATCAATTAATAAAATTACCTGGTCTCCGGTGAAGAGGTGCTGGACACTTGAAACCCAAGTAAGAAAGGACCTGTATTTCCAGAAATATATATAATTAAACTTGGGCTACTGCGTATATCATCATCATTTCTTTTTCTTTGTATCTTATAGAAGAAAAAAAAATGAAAATGAAGAAGACGAAGATGAAGAAGAAACGAACAAGTAGTCAACAAGCTGACATTGCACGAGATTGAGTAGCCTAAAGATAAACAAGTAGACAACAAAACCTTCCACTCCACGGACTAAATAAAAAATAAAAAAATTAGATGATCCACCACACCAGCAGATATGGCGGGGAGTGGGATCTATGAGCATAAAGGGAAGGGAAGGGAAGGGAAGAGAAGAGAATTAAATTAGTAAAGAATGAATGAGATTGTGGGACCGGCCGGGACGACAACCCACGGAGACGGGTTGAACAGGGCAATACAAAACAACAATAATGATGAACATTGAATATCATGATGATTCCTTTTCTTGGTGACATATGAATATTAATAATAATGAATCATGAGCAGCAACGATTATTTATTTATTTAGAAGAGATATGATTATCTAACTAATTATTATTTGTAAATAAATATAAAAGAAAAAGAATTACCGACACACTGGAGAAAGATATCACTTGTTTTGCTCCAGTCAATCACCACATGTCATGTTCACACGAGTTTTTCGAGAAACAAAGACACAGTTATAATTGCTAATTAGGTGGCGGAAGAGGAGAGTGCTGGTAAAACAAAAACAGTTATGATTAGGACACTGGCGCTGAAGAGGAGTAGGTGGTCTGGTTCTGCCAACTCCACCGTCCCCCTCCCCCGCCGGACCCCCAGAACCCCAGAACCCCAGAGACCCCCAGACCAGTTGCTTCTGCTCTTGCATTGCATCATCACATCACATACCAAACAAACTAAACAATATTGATTCCAGTGAACCACCTACTTATGCTATACTAACAAATAAAACATTAGTGTATGATAATTAACAACTCAACTGCTTATAATATAATCATAATCTCATCTACCAGTACCACCCAATGCTAAATCACACTATTATTATTATTATTATTATTATAGTCTGTCTAATATAAATATTAACGGCTTAACTTTTAAAATTCTAATAATAATGTCTTTGCATTGGACTGTCTTTTCTAATAATAATAAAGCTAGCTACCTAGCAACAAAGTCCATCTAGTGTTTTCTTTGGTAAGCAAAGTACACGAAGCATTACAGCTGTTTCTCATTTCAACATTAAATGCACGTGGACCTTTTTGATAGCATCAATTCTTTCGCGCAGTTAAGGCAAAATTGTACAGGAAGTTCAATCTGCGAATCAAACAACGGAACTTTAGATTAAGACATCTCTTTTCAATTATGGCACCTCAACTCAACACAATTTATGTCAACAATTACTTCCATAAAATCTAAGTACATGAATTGCGCGACAAACTTTTCATTAGTTCACCGGTAAAATTCAGTTCATTAGACTTGACCTAATTTAAACTACTCATTATTTAACAATTTATTGCTAAAGAGTAATCGTTGACTGGCATTTTCATGGAGGGATCCAGAATGAAGCTGAAGAATTTGTGTTTGCTTTTGTTTTTCTTTGAGAATAACTGTGTAGAGGTGTTCAAGTAGATATTCTAAGGGGAAAAAAATATTATACCTATATAGCCCAATATTAACTTCGAGATGCATAAAGTTATACAATTTCATACATTGTACGTCATCTCAAGTCATGGGCTATAGGCCAAATATAATCCTAAAATATGTAAAACTCATCTCCAACTATGGGCTAAAAAAAAAAATTTGACCAAATTTAGAGGGCCACATTTAGCCATTTAGCTCTCCTCCCATGCCACTTGTATCCCAGCTATAGCCCATTCCAAATTTTTGTGTGAGCCCAGCGCATGTGTTGTCCGAGAAGAGAATCACACATGGGCATGAGCATGGAACATCTCGTGCAACTGCATATCCATGCTGATGTTAGCTAGACGTTAATTTCCTTTTTCATTTTAACTTTTTAAATGTATTTAAATTCTTTTTTTTAAATTATAAAAATACCACAAAACTTCTTCAACTATTTCCACACTCATTTCATTCCACATTTCTTACAAATTCTATCACATTCTCTACTTATTCACAACTTTCCACACTTTTTTTTTTTTGTCAAATATTTTCCACACTCATTTCATTCAAACATTTCCTACTAATTTATTCTCTTATCAATGTAGACGTGTCATATCTGGAATATTGTCTCTAAATAGTAGTTTAATTAAATTAAACAATACATAGTTGTGGAATGTATGAGTGTTGTACCATAGTTTTTTTTCTCAAAATAATAAAATATAGAGGGCCCTAAAATATAGTCATGCATGGGTTGAGTTGGAAAAATTTATCCCTACACTTTTTCTTTAAAAATTAATATTTTGGAGGGCTAAAATTATAGCCCTAGCCTACATTTAGCCCTATGACTGAAGATGGCCTTAGAGGTCTTCCACCATGAATTTTTTAGCTGGTGGGCTAGCTACAATTTCATAATTTTGGCCTAGAGGTCTTCCACCTAGGGGTGGGCATTCAAACCGGAAAACCGAGCTAAATGGGGCTGAAAAAAAAATCAGAAAAACCATACTTGACCAAAAACTGGACCGAGTTGACCAAAAACCGATTTGGTTCGGTTCCAATTCCTGTCCTTGTAGTGAAAAGACAAACCGGTTGTGTATTATTTTATTATTTTATTATTTTTACAAAATTATTTAAATCCAATGCCACATTTTTAATCTCATCACTAATATTTCCCCAGGCCCAACTTCTAATCATCTCTCTTTTCTACTCCCAATGTCTATCTTTGCATGAAATTGGATAATTTTTTAATTTTCAAGCCCAAAAAATAAATTTTAGTTGGAATTTTTATAAAAATAATAATAATAATTCGGTTCAAAATTGAAAATCGGTTCAAACTGGACCCACTGGTTTCAAAATTTTTTTTTACTAAAACCAGACCAAATTGAACCGATTAAGTATTACCGATTTCAATTCCGGTTTGAGGTGAAAACCAAACCAAATCGGACTGCATCTACTCCTACTTCCACCATAAATTATTCATTTTATGCCAATAAACCAATGGACTCAAACTGTAAAGGTCATATTTTCATTTTGACAATATGTATTATTTGGTTGCATTTAATATTTATTTGTTATATGCTAAAGCTTATATAAATTATTCCATGAAGCTATATGAACTAGTGTGTTATATATATGATTTTATTTTCCTAAAAAAACCACCAACTATATTACACCCATAAAAAAAAAAAAACACCAAAAAAAAAAAAAAAAAAAAAAAAAAAAAAAAGAGGGTCTTAATCTTAATAATTTTAGTTAGCCCACCCGTTGAAAAATTCATGGTTCCGCCCTTACTTAAGAAATCTTAACTTCATAACAACTTAACAAGTCATTGTGCTCTAAGTGGGGAACTAGCATGGATTCGTTTTTTTTTCTATGTCTCTTTTAATAAAGAGTTCAATATTCCACTTATGTGATTGAGAATTCGAACAAACAAACTGATATCAAAGAGATCATATTGAAATGGTAACTTCTATTATTTATAAAACTATGTTCGAATGGACATTACTTACTAGGACAAGCTAAATTATTCTGATCAGACTGAAATACAATCGAAGGAAAGGAAATCGAACAAAGTGGTCCTAAGTATAGAGAAACTGAAATGAGAGATTAATCAAATAAAGCAATCACAGTTGGGACTGATCATCAATTATAAATCATACCAACAAAGAAGGAACACAGAGCAAAGAAACAAGGTATTCTTAAGAGTTGTCGACTGGAAATCTCATATTTATATTTATGAGACCTTAATGGATTTTTTTCCTTCCATTTTTTGGCCTTGGCTTTGATGTAAATTGATATATGAGATTGACACTCCAATGAAATTTTTTCTTATTTTGATTATTTCTTTAGTTACAATATGAGATGCAATTTGTCTTCATTTTGTTTCTCTTTTGGTTGTTGAGAGATGGTAGGAAATTTTTTGAACTTAATGTTTAATTTTTTTAATTTTATGTTGCTATTAAAATTAGTTTCATAAATTTTAATTAATAATTTATTCCGTTTTTATTTGAAATATTTCATTAAACTTCTGACACGTGTTCATTCCTTCTTCAGATCACTACGCACCCTGAAGTGCATGTTCGTGGGCCTTGCCCTTAATGTATAGGCCCTTTAAAGGCGCTAAGCATGGGTCAATGCGTGGGGCCTTGGCGTGCAATCGTTATGTGGGCATGGGCGGCCTCTAGGTGCATCTTTGGGCCTAGGCGGCCTTTTTTAAGAATGCCTGCTTCAAGTGCCTTGAGGGGGTCCAGTCACTTCCTTATGTTTTTTGTGCTCCAAGTGGGGAACTAGCTCATATTAGTTCTTTTTAATTCCTTATATGATTAAGGACTTCACTATTTTACTTTATGCGCTAGTGCTAAGGGGCTCCTTGCAATTTTGCCATCATCGGGAAGGAAATCTCAAGATCAGGCAATCTTACATAATAAGGAGTTCTAGTGATTTATGGTTCGATATTGGTTGTAACTGAATAACATGATAAATGAACACTTTATAAGTTTAAATATAATTGGAAAACATGATTTGGAAATGAAGATTTCTCGATTCCACTTAATACAACATAAATTTAAAAGAAAAGAATAATAAACTAAAAAACTAGTAAAGGGAAAGATGAGACTAGCAACTAGGAATCACACCAAGTGTTGGCATAACAATAAACTTAAAAGATAACTCAGGAGTTATTAATAGAAATTCTTAATACAAAAGAAAGTAGTTGGGTTTAATGAGATCAAGTGTTGATCGAGTATGAAGTCTTTTTCTGAGAGAAAGGTTGTGTGTCATTGGCTCTATTCTGTAACTATATATAGGCTCCTTGGTTCTTCAATCTACACAGTTGGTGAAGAGATAGTTGAATCAGATGTCAGTCTTTTCTTCGCGATTAAAGCTAGTTAATCTTTGAGTGCTTTGATCTTTGTGCAAATGGCGAAAAGTGCTTTGGTATGGCTTAACTATGTGCAGAAGCCAACTCACTCCATTAAGGGGTTGAGCCAGCATGGGACCGGTGTGGTCCCATGTAACATCCCGTCCCAAAAATCACTGTTCAATTATTTATTTATTGTGAAATTACATTTTTGCCCTTGGGTATATGGGCACTTAAGTCACTTTTTGTTCGGGATGGATTTTGGGGAATTGAGTGGCACTGTTGCGTAGAGCTCGACGATACAAGTTCGTAGACAGACGACATGTTCAATTCGAAGTTAAAACTAAGGAGTTATGGTCTACGGGGGTACAGTGATACAATCGTAATTTTTCCAAAGTCAGATTTTCAAATACCCTAGCTCTCTCTCTCTCTTCTTTGTTTCTCTCCCACGGCGACAACGTCGCTTCCGACGACAGTTGCTACGCCATCCTGCCACGCCAGGCCACGGGACCAGTAGTAAAAGAATTAGGAGGAGCCGACAACCACGCCTGGGCTAACTCAGCCACCTCAGGTCGTCACACCGCCGCGACGAGCTCGGAAAGTTCCGAGAGTTTTGAACTTTCGGTTACCTTTTTCGGCGATTCCAGCTACCAATTTCGTCGATCCAGGTATGAATCGTCATCCCCTTCATGTGCTTTAGCTGCCTATACTGGTATATTGGATCGATTTTGAGGTTTTACAGATAATTCATTATACCCATTTTAGCCCATGGTTTCGACTTCGATTTGGCTGGTTTCGACTAATTTTTGGCCGTGGTTCAAGAACAAAAGTTGATCCCCTAGTTAGTTTGAATACGTTGGCTTAGGTATTGGCTAGTGGTTAATCTCTCAAGACACCCACCTTTGTCGGCGGCGAACGGCGACTCGTGGGCCACTGTGTAGTGATCCATTGTATTCTAAATTGTTCCCCTTGTCATCCTAAGTACAACGGTATGCTCGGATTTGGATTCAGTTATCGTTTGATAGTTGAACGAATATTGCACTTATTATGCGATATCTGAGTTTGATAAGTTCATGCCATTCGATCAGTCCCAATTTCAAATATGTTGTTCTCTGTACCTCTAGAATCGTGTAGAAACTCATTGATTGAGAATCAGAGTCCCTAATACTCAGAGTCAATGATTCTAAGTTTAGGCGAAACGATCGCCGTCCAATCGTGCGATTGTCTTAAATTCGACCACTCGATCGAGATCAAACTTTCAAGACTTGTTTAGTAAATTTTGTAGGACTTATAGGAACTTTTTCGGATCAAGAATCCAAGATTGTGGGCCTCATGGGCCTAATTGACCTGTATGGTGGGCCTCGCAAGCCCAACCGGGACTAATTAGTTTGGAGGTGCTTGGGGCTTAGTTGTTTGATTTTAAGTTGGTATTTTTGCTCTGAGAGTTTTATTAAATATTTTTGAATTATTGTTCTATCGCTTTTACCTTCCAAGCATGATATATATGCGTTTATTTTTATATATGTGTTAAATGGATTAATAATTTAATTGTGTTGCCTTCTGAAATATTGATGTCTATGGACATCCTGGTTGCCTTCGAAAATATTGATGTCTACGGACATCCTGGTTGCCTTCGGAAATATTGATGTTTATGGACATCTTAGTTGCCTTCGGAAATATTGTTGCCTTAGGAAATATTAATGTCTTCAGACATACAGTTGCCCTCGGAATTTCTTTGGACATATGGTTGCCTTCGGATTATCTTCAGGCATATGGTTGCCTTCCATTTTGTCTACGCGCGTATGACATTGCCCTACGAGTATTGAGGACTCCCGAACAGTGTGGTGCAAGGATTTGCGTTCTCATGTTGAGTACATTTCCCTGGGTCCTGCGAGGATTTGCGTTCTCAGGTGGAGTATATCTCCCTGAGTTCTGCAAAGAATGTGTCTCAAGCTAACCATGTGTCCTCTGAGTTATGCAAGGAAAATGTCTCAGGCTGAGTTTGTGTCCCCTGAGTTTTGCAAGGATTGCGTCTCTGGTCGATCTCGTATCCCCCGAGTTCTGCGAGGATGTATCACACACGTGGCCACATGTGTGTTACTTGGAATTGACGGTATATTATTGGAATTGATGGATTATGCTTAAGGTACATCTATGTGGAGATAAGTGCAGTATCAATGTGTGGTACAATTAACAAGATATTATTCACCACTCTGCTCATATTATCTGCACAGGGTTGGCCAAGATCCCTAGCCACCTGCCCAACTTGTCTACACAGGTGGTTAGCTAGTTTCCCCTTCCCTTGTTGCCTTCGGATTTGATGGTGTTCCCATATACCCATTGGTGGGTGATTACATGTTATATGTACTATGTAGATGATTGCAGGTATGGCTTTCAACTAAAAGGTTTGGTTATGCAAGTATTTAGATGTACAATGATAAACTAATTGAACAGTTAAGTGCATGATTTAATGGCATGATATTCAATTATATAGCTTGTGGAGATCAAGATAAAGAATGGTTCCAGAATTTCATCGTTGGTTCCATTTTGAATATTTCTGTACTATCTTAATTGTGATTCAGGGTAAAAAGAACTATGTGTGGCTTGATCCCTTAAAATGGTACGTAGGCAACCTAAGTTAACCTAGGTGTAGCCGCAAGTTCATGTTTTGCTTGTTATATTCAATTTTATAAAGTTGAATAATGTGTTGAACGCTAGGGAATAATTGAGTTTACTGTGCGGGTAGAATTTTGGTTTTTGAGCCTTTTTCAGGGGAGACTGCCGGTTTTCCGGTAGAAGTCAGACCCTAAAGCAGTTTTTGGATTAAAGCAAGAAGGGTATTTTGGTCATTTATGCTCAACACCTGCTATGTGGTGGACACGCACAAGGTTCGACACGGATTCTAAAGTGGAATTTGGGTCGGATCCTGTCATTCCAAGCCCCCACTCCATTTTTACCTCTTTTATTTGTATATTATATATGATATATAATATTATATTAGTTTTAGGATATTTACCCTAAAATAAAATAATATAGTAGGTTCTTTTTTTATACAAATAAACCATAAAATTTCTTGATCTCCCTTAAATCTTCTAGGTTAGTTTATGATATTTGAACTAAAACTCCTAAGGTTTTAACCTTTTTTTTCTCTTCTTGTTTTGTGTTAAAGCTATGTGAATTTTTTATTTTTCTCATTTTTTTCATGTATGAGTTGGGTACCTTAATATTGCGCTTTATAAACCCTCTTTTTTTCTTTTTTCGATTTCTTTTCTATGTTGGAAAATAAATAAATGATTTTTAAGTCTTTAATAGTGTACTGTAGATAATGAAATTAGTATTTAACGGATAAAAAATATAAAATTCATGATAATTATGAAGAGAATACAAGTTTTATAAAAGGCCCCCTCTAATGTGAAATTCTAGCTCTGCGGCCATTCCATACTTACAGGAAAGAAAAAAGAAGGAAAATTGAGCACGATTCTTTGAAGCTATGATTCATCAGCAAGTGAACGTACTGCACGTACCGTACACAAGAAGAAGGGTCCAATGTGGTGTGAACATGTGCAGACACGTTCCCATTTTTCAAATTGGAGATATCATTTTTGGGATTTATGAAGTTGGAGATCAGAGACGCAATTTAGGAATGTGTTCCCTTCTGTAGACTTTAGAGGCAGAGCAAGGAAGCAGGAAATTTCTGCCAAATATCTTGATTTTTCTTTGCTTCTACACGCTTCACCTCTCAAAACCCAAAACCGGGATACTGCCTTTCCTTCCCAAACAGTTATTAGATTACAGAGAGCAAACTCAGAATGAGAATAACGGGCATTCAATTAAAAACTGAAGAAAGCCAAGACCGAAAATATCCGCCTAGTATTTATATGCGCATGCATGTGTCCTCTTCTTAATTACAAATTTAAAATACAAGAAACAAAGAAAACAGAAAATGAAAGGAGTAGCATAATATAAATAAAATGTAATTCTGTAAACTTGGATGATTGTATTTGTACACAACAACTTGACATAAAAACACGTCGTGAGCCGGAATATAATTGTTTGTTGGGGTTGCAACTCAGAGATTCAGAGGACGGAGCCTTCGTCTATGGTCGTCAATCTGAGTCTGAAAGATCGAACGGCCATCTTGGCCCTTTTGGATGTGTATCTCTGCAATTTCCTAACCGACTTAGATCTCGAAATCTGCTGCTTCTGGCTCATCTGCCCTTTGTAGGCCGAGGCTCCGATGGTAATTTCATTGAAGTCATCTCCGTCCACGTCGGAGTTTGCATAATTAATCAGAACGGGAGAAACGCGGGCCTTCTTGTAATTACGGCGAGGATGAAGGTCCTTTTTCTTCTCCTTGCTCTTGTAACTAGAAGAAGAGGAAGAGGCATTTTGGAAGGCGAGGCTGGCTCTCACAGCCAAGGCCGCCATATCGGTGGCGCTGAGGCGTTGTTCGAGCTTCGATCTCGGGAGTATGAAGTAGATCTGATCAGCCTCAAGTTCATCTTCCGAATCCAAAACCGGGATGTAGTTGTCGTAATACAAACGGTCTGAATTGCATATAAACGACGACGAAGATGAGGACGAAGACGAAGAGGATGCCGTTTGGCCAGCCTCGAGGACTTGGGAGACAATCACGGGAACTGGGTATTCGCGGAGACTTCCATTGATGGAGATAACTTTGGCGGTGGGCGAATTGAGCAGAAGCTCTTCATTATGACTACTCCTGATGGCTGACGACAAGCATCCACCCATTATTTTCCAGACTGATTGTTTGTTGGTAATATTACTCTGAGAAGCAATCAAGCAGATAGCTGGGGCTGATGAGTGAGGAGATGACGAAGGTTTTGTTTGTTTGAGAGAGAGGAGAGAGAGGAGAGAGAGGGGTTTGAAATTTGAAGGGAGAGAGGGGTGTGTGGGTTATATTAATAAGGGAAAGGGAAAGTAACAGAAAAAGGAAAGGAAATTGTATGGGCAGTGCTGAAAGGGAATGGGAATGCGTAAGCGAGGTCGTCAGGAGACTCAATAGCAGGCAATAACGACAACTTTTCCAATAGAAAGGGCAGGCTTGACTCTCTTCTCCCCTTGTTCTTATGCAGGCGTCCTCCTAAGCGATGACGTCTAAACGCGTAGTAAAACTTGTGCTGCGCGCTTTATATCCGCTTGCCATGCAAGAAATATATATATAAAACATATAAAAATAAAACAAATGAAACGCGATGAAAAGAAAAAAGCCCAACAAGTCCAAACCCAACGGCCCCAGGGAACCAAGAGACAACCCGATACACAACAAAGGAACAAATCCCAGCTCAAACTCAAAAAGAGCTAACACCACCTCCTCTCCTACAAACAGAAACTAGTTGACCATTGACCAACAACACTAGTTGACCGAAAAATCTACAAACAGAGATCAACAGAAAATTAACATCTGCACAGGGATTGGACTCAGAACTTTCTTTGTCAACAAAATAAAAGTAAGAGTTAGGTTTGAACAGTTGCCTAAAAGTAACATCCGGGTCACATTATCCTCTAAATTTGTTTTGTGAATTATCTTTTGTTCATACCATCCGATTCACATTAGCCTAAGGTAAAAATAACATCCACTGTCACTTTAGTCCTTATCTTCAAGTCCATTTCAGTTTTTTTGTTAATTTTAACCCACATTGATGTACCTTTTAGGTGCAAATGGGTCTTCTAGGTGGTATTTGTTGGCTTTGCAAGGCATTTCAACACATGTTTGAGTTGAAATTAGTGTCATATTGGAAAACTAGAGTTCCTTAAATCATTGATTGAAATCACTGGGGTACAATTACATCATTCGCTACAATTACCATAACTTTCCCTTTGTCATTACGAATGACAACACCAACATCAACCAGACTCCGAATGAAAAGCCCCATCAATATTAAGCTTAAAATGCCCTGAATCAGGTGGAGACCAATTTGAGATATAATGCTCATCCCTTCTTACTAATCTCTGATTCGCCTTATAGATTTGGAAACTATATGTTGGGTAAATTTTGTATAAATTCTTCACCAATATTACTTCTTGTTTTTAGTCATACGCAAGTAGTACCATGTAGATATTAGCCAGTATCCCAACACAATTTAAAGAATGACCTATCAATTTAATCCACATAGAAAGGTCATTTTGACTTTCTTTTTGGATCTAATCACAATTTCCTTCTCTTTTCTCTTTTGTTCGTGTTTAAGTGCATATCCAACACAATTTTAAAATGCTATTTTTTTGCCCTTTTCCTTTTTGACAAGTTCAAATTCTTGAAAATATCTTTGAAGAAAATTCCTTGATGACTTTTAAAATATTTAAGTATATAACATAATATATATTTGTAAAAAACGTGTAACATATATTGATTCGCACATCTTATTTTTCATTTTCACGTTATAAAACCTTAATACATGTCGACCATATACACAATGATGGGATATGTGCAAGTTTCCTAGAGTAAAATCTTAGTTGATTAGATTTAGGACCAATCACAGTAAATCTTAAGTATTTGACCAATAACATCTTCTGAATATTAAATTATTTTGAATTCTCTCTCTCTCTCTCTCATATTAAGACCATTCCATCGATCATTAATATTTTAATTGTATTTTCAACAAAATAATCATCAATGCAATTAAATCATTATTAGTCTATTATATGCGGAATCTCATTAGTCAATAGTCTAATCTTTTTTTTCCCTTTTTCCAAATTGTATGTTATATATTATATGTATAACAGATCTCCATGTGTTGAATCACTGGACATATATGTCCGCGCATTCGGCGGTTCATGTCCCTAGCACTAATCAAATCAGCAATTAGGGCTGACCGGATTCAAACTAATCTGTCAAAAACAACTTCCAATCCAATTCAACTCAATTTTGACAATATTCCCACATTGTTGAATTGTATAAATAATATAAAAAAGAGAGTTTAGGAACAGACAAGATCAGTTTAGTTGACAAATTAAGGATTAGAAATCGAACTTAGCCCCATTGAGAGAGAGGTAGAAGGCTATATTGTTCAGTTTCTAATGGTTGTTGTAGGTCAGTATATTACTAGTACGTATTTGGAGCTGTTTTGTACGTACTTAACACAAGCACCACTGGCAGGGAGGCTCATGATTCAAACAAGGTTAGAGCATCCACAATGGGCTCCCTTTAGAGCATCCACAATGATGCTCTCTGTTTCTTAGCCAAAATTTGGCTAAGAATATAAGAAATCTATTTTAGGAGCTCTCTAAAATTTTTTAACTCCAACTATACTCCCTAATTTGGAGAGTCATAAATGCTATAAATCTTTTTTTATTGGTCCATCTCTATTAAAAAATAAAATAAAAAATAGTTAACATTAAATATAGGTTTGAAATACTGATTAAATAAAGCATCATTAAATTATAGGGAGCCACTATAATTCATTTCTCTCTCCTCAGATTTAAGAGCTCTTAGAAGACTCCCTATTTTAGGAGGTCAATAAGGAGCGTGGTTGGAGTTGCATTTTTACGATTACTCCCTAAAATTTGTCTAAGGAGGTGGTTTAGGGAGTCCATTGTGGATGCTCTAAACCACCTCCTTAGACAAATTTTAGGGGGGAATGATAAAAATACAACTCCAACCACACTCCCTATCCACCTCCTAAAATAGAGAGTCCTCTAGGAGCTCCTAAATTTGAGGAGAGAGAAAGGACTCTTAGTGGCTCCCTATAATTTAATGTTGCTTTATTTAATGAGTATTTCAAACTTTTATTTAATGCTAACCATTTTTTATTTTATTTTTTATAGAGATGGACCAATCAAAAAAGAGTTATAGCATTTATGACTCTCCAAATTAGGGAGTATGGTTGGAGTTGAAATATTTTAGAGAGCTTCGGGTGCATTTTTGCTCACCACCTTAACCCTTGGTGTACCCTCACCACCCCTCCTAAAAGTTGACACATGTCCATGGGTTTAACTATGGTTAATTCTTTATTTTTTATTTATTTGATAACATTATTATGAGAGAGAAACAATACTTCAATAAGATTTTTCTTAATTTAACCTTATTAACCTAGCAAACTTTCCACTTTTCTAAATTAATTAACAACTACCAAAATAAATAATTGGCAATTGGCGTGATAGTCATGAATCCTAGGAGTCATGGAAGCTCTCCATAGCAACTCTGTATCGTTCATGTTGTGAAAAACCTTTGGCGGCTTTATGTATTCCTTTAATCCTCGTATGTGAGGTTGGGCTGTGTGGCTCATATTGGAAGTTGAGGCTGTTACATTTGGTATTTATGGTCTTCCGGCCAATATTGGTCTTCCACTTCCCATGAAACTGTTGGCATCCCAATCTTAACAAAAAAAACTTAATCTTCACAGCCAATATTGCTTGTTGTTTTTGGTTTTTAGCAATCACCAAAGTATAAAAAATAATTAAGCAATACAAAGTACTAAAAAAAAGAAGAAGAAAAAGCAACATAGATTATTGCCTATCTTTCACTTGAACAAATGGAGGAGTGTAACTTTTGGGCATGGATAAAAGGAGTTAATTAAAGCCAATTGAGATTCAAAGTATCTGGGTGTGTTCTTCAAAGTATTGAAGCCTGTGAATTGATATTCATATTAAAGCACACCAATTACCAACATGGACATGTTAAAGAATTACTGCGAGGCGCACTTGAAATCAATAGAAGGGATGCGTTTAATAGACATATTGTGGAGCAGATTATAGAACAGGGTCTCATAATTGGCAATAGGGTTAGCAACGTGGGTCATGAAAAAAGTGCACCTCAAGCATCGTTATGAGCCGTGAAAAGTGGAAAGTTTATTTGGGTAGTTGTTAATTAATTTAGAAAAGTGGAAAGTTTGCTAGATTAATAAGGGTGAATCAGGAAAAATCTTATTGAAGTATTGTTTCTCTCTCATAATAATGTTATGAAATAAATTAAAAATAAAGAATTAATCATAGTTAAACCCATGGACATTTGTCAACTTTTAGGAGGGGTGGTGAGGGTACACCTAGGGTTAAGGTGGTGAGCAAAAATGCACCCCTTCTAAAATAGTTTTCTTATATTCTTAGCTAAATTTTAGCTAAAGAAATAGAGAGCGTCGTTGTGGATGCTCTTATAATTGCTTTTGATGAATAAATCTCAATACCCCATCAAGTGTCCTATCCGATGTTTCTCCTCATATTATTAGAAAAAGGCCAAAGTCCAAATAGCACTAATGGACTAATGACTAAGCCTGTTTGCCCCTCGCATCGCAGGCCTATCTCTCTCTGACCGACCCAAAGAAAAAGTGAAGGGAGTCATCACAACATAAATACATAGATATGTAGGTTACCGAAAGGTCACAAAAAGAGGTGGACCGCGGACCCATCTGATGCCACACATGCATGTAGACACCATCACAGACTGCCTTCTTACCCCCAAAAGAGTTTACCTATAAAGTCAACACGTTGGATATATATTTCCCTCACATACCATCGGATAAAATTGAAACAATATTATTTTTCAATGAGCTAGACTCCGTTATCTACTTTAATTTTATTAATGTTCATATGGACAGCATGAGATGGTATTTGGGTGAAGATAATGAATGAAAGTTTATATGGTAAAGTAAAGAAAGCCCCATTATCCACAGTTGGACGCACCCAACTAGGCACTAGCTAACACGAGTACTACATGCCAAGTATCATTAATCAACCACTGCCAGTATCTCTCTCTCTCTCTCTTTATCTCTCTTTGACTCAGTGGAACAAATGAAGAACCACCGAGCATTGGAGTGAGTAACAATCCTTCCTTACAAGTTACACACAACACATTAACACCACACCCATCGTTGGTTCTCGTAAGACTCCCCCGTAAAACAAGAAGAGGATAAAAGTGGGTCCCATTTCCTTCCAGAATTATAGAAAAGAAAGCGACGTGTCTACCCAACAACACTAGTCATGTAACGTGGCAACCATTTAGCACCCACAGTCCTGACTCACTCTCTCTCGTAATAAGGAACGTAACAGGGAAGCCGACAGACAGAGCAGACCAACCTCATCCCAATCCCAATCCCAATCTCCTTCTCATTTTTTATTGTTTATTACATTTTGATTTGAGCTATATAGATAGAAAGAGCTTCTATATTACTGTTAGTAACAGTGTATGTGTGAATAAATTTTTCTTTTTATGTTATAAATGAATTATTTTTATATATATCAAACTGTGATTTACGGGAAGAAAGAATATCTCCTTACATAGAAGGGGACAAGCGGTATCATTCATTCATATCTGTTTCTGTTTCTTTTTGTTTTTCCACAACTAAAAATCGAACAAGTACTTAATTAATTGATTACAATTTATTGATAAGAGATGAAAAGGCCACGCCCCACCCATCCCATTAATAAACGAATGGATGAGAGAGGATGGAAGACACAACACAACACACCACCACACAACCACCAGCAGCCTTCTTTCACTTCCAGATTCTTCACGGCTCTCATTCATCCACTTGTGCCTGTCTGCTCACTTGTTATATTATTATTCTATATTCATATTCATTTTATGATTTTTTTTATATTCAATCAGAGAGATAGAGAGAGAGAGAGAGAGAGACTGGGAGAATCTTCATCTGGACAAGACCCACAAAATTACCAATGCTTGCCCTTGTCTTTGTGTGTGGGGTTTACGTGTCTACCAAGCTTTTCTTTTCTTCTTCCTTTTTTTTCTTTTCGCTGATAGCAACCTCCATTTCATAGAGACTCCAAATGTCCAAACTCCATCATTTTCAATTTGTCATCCATTGCAATTGTTTATTATTAATTTCAACCATAAAACACAATTGATGAATATTAATTTTCTTTTAAGAATCTTTTTTGGTCTACACAGATCCTCTCCCTCCCTGCGTCTCTCATCCAACATCCATAAGCCAACTGCGTAGCCCCAAAGCTACCTACCTTGTCTTCACTCATTTACGTGAAGTGTCCAAGTACCATTCCTTCCCTCCCTCCCTATTAGTATTAATTAAACCCTAATTTCAAAATCACTATTTAAATCAGTCAACCCCATCTATTCTATCTTGTGTGGAGAACTGAGGAAGAGACGAGGCATCTTAATCAATTAACACAACATCATTAATTTATGTATTAATTTCTAAACACAATGCTCAGCATCACATCATCTCACCAAGACAGCTTCATCTAGCATCTCCGTAGAAGACTGTTACTCCAGTTGGCCCCAAATCATCCTCACCATGTTCTTTAACCATTAGACTTTCACAATTAATGTAATATGAAATTAAATATCTCAACCAACATTTTCTTGCTAGAAAACAAGAAGAGATATTTAGTTGTATATTCATTTTTAGCATTAATGACATAGATAAACCCTACACCATTTAATTTCTATAAACAAATCCAAAAATTCACAACTAACCTTGTTGAATTTAATTTTAATTATTAAATTACTTTGATACCTTATCGAGTATTTTTGGATTTTTTATATGAGATTTTTGAAATTGAGTTTGTTTTAAGAAATTGATGACAGTTTTATAATTTATACAAAATTCAAAGCCTCTTTTTTATGTTGTAAATGAACTTTGAGTGTGTTTCTAAAATCCATTTTACGTAGAGTTCTTTTATAATTTGAGCCCTTATATAATGAATCTCCCAAAAAATAGAGAATGAAATATCTAGCATTGGATATTTGCCTCATATCAATCACTAGTGCATGCATGACATAGCCTAAATTGGTAAACTATGCATTTGATACCTCACACTCCCTCCCCCTAATAACTTAATATCTTGTCCTCACTGTAATATTAGTCCAAACAAATCAAATCGCTACTCTGTCCGAAAGTATAGCTCCAAATGCATCTGCAACTTCCCACACACAAACAAGCCAGCCACAGAGCATACGGAATAAACCAGAACTTGCAATTTACAAGCCTACCAACATAATCAAACATTCTCTCTTTTAACATGTATATAAGAAACACCATTTATATGCACAAAATATGTTCTCCACATATTTATACGTACATAGAAAACCACTCAAACTTGATCACTGTCATATTTTCTAACAACCAGAAAGAAACCCAAGCTATATGTCATATTGCTGTACAAAAACCAGAGGGGGAGCTAGCTAGTATATATATCCCAGAGTTTCTGATTCATTCACAAAACAGAATCCCAGACAGAGAGAGTGATGGATTAAGGGACCATCCACGATGCTTTCCGAACATATCATTCCCTAGCTTTCAAACATTTACATATGTACTTCTTCATCCTTACTTTGTTCCTTCTATTTGAGCCACTAACATATTAAAAGCTAATTTATGTCGATGATTTACTGTATGAACATATATATATATATATATGTATGTATCTATATGTTTATGTACTTTTAACTTAGTGGGAATGGGAAACTGATCAAAAGGGTGCGCGGTGAGGTATACCCTTACGTCTTCTGGCATTGTTGTGGTTGTAAATGGGAGGTGTGGACGGAGACATATTGGTAGTGCCTTCCTCATCACCAGAACTTGAGCTAGTACCCTCCCCATGAGTCCTGCCCCCGTATTTCATTGCATTGCCATCCATCAGACGGCTGAACATGTGCACCGTCCTTGCTATCTTCTTTGGAGTTGTTGATTCATCCGATTCTGACCCGCCATAGAAACCATCCCTGTAGTGCTTCGCCCTCAGCACTGTAAATGTGAGCTCACCGTCACCGCGCTTTATTCCTTTAAGCTACAATTCACAAACCAAATCAATACAATGTCAGTGAGGTGTGTGTATATATCATACATTGGAGACAAAAGAAAACAGGGCAGAAAAACAGGGGATTCAAACTTGTCCCCATTCCCAGATAACAAAAACTTGTAATTTCTAACCCCCCAAATCAGCCAACAAACAAGAAAGCAAATAACGCGAAACTCAAACAATAAAAAAAAAGAGTAAAGGCAATTTCTTGAATAAAAACAAATGTCACATTAATTACAGACGATGAATTACCTTGCAACCCAAGGAGCAGAACCTAAAGGAGTCGGGGAGGCTTCTGCAGCAAATCTCACAAGTGTTGGTGACCCCTTTTCCAGGCCTTGGCTGCGGCCTCTCATTCAAAAACACAACCTTTGCGCTGTTGATGACGTATGTCTGCACGTGCGATATATCCAAGAACTTCTGAATCTCATTCACTCTCACCACATCATGGTATGAGGACCGCCTTATCTACAATCAAGAATAAGAACCCACACCACGCAATAAATCATTTGATACATTCTAAACAAAATCAACCAACAAAAAGATTAGAAATTGGTTTAGAATCTGCAGCTAGCTCATGTTAAATTGGTGGAAATCAATCAAAGGAAACCAACCTGAACAACGCGGTGATCCTTGTGATGAATTAAACAGTAAGGGCACATAGCATCTTCCATGCAATCCAAGCAGAACATGTTGCATTCGCTCTTATTGGCCCTCCCGTGAATTTCACATTGCCTGAAGTAGTTTGCAGTCAGCATTGGCTTTAACCACGGCGGGCTCATCGCGTCCAGTTCGTTCCCAAATCTCCCTATTGGTATTGAACTCACCTGATTACATTTACAATCAAACCCAAATACGAATGAATTAATAATCTAACTGAAGCAGAGCAAATTAAGCAATGCCATGCGAGTGTGTAAGTAAAGATAACATGATACATACCATGGCTCTGTCTCTGTTCTGCTCTTGTTGTTGTTGTTGTTGTTGATTATGACGAAGCAGAGGCTCCTGCAGCCTGTCCAGCTTCTACCAAAACGAATCAAACCCTTTCCAAGATGGAGACTGAAATCTGAAAACACAGATTCAAGAAAGCCAAAACAAAAACAAAATTGAAATAAATACACATTAATTACAGAAAGACCAAGATACGAATATGTGGAGAAGATGAAGATAATAGCAGACCTTCAAGAACTTGAACAAGGAAAGTAGCAACTAGTGGAATCGGCAGTAAGCAAAAGGGGTGGGAAAGTGGAGGTGTTCAACAACTAGGGTAAAAAGAGGACACTGCTGCTCCAGCACACAAACAAAGACTATATATATATATATATATATATATATTATATAAATAGGGTATTATTTGTATTGGCCTAATAAAAAAAAGATGGAAAACACTGGAGAATGGGAAACACAGCAGCAGATACTTATGATAATTGCTAAGAAATTTATAAGGCGGTCACTCAAAAAAAGCTGCATATCTCCAAATATTTTACTAATTAATTTTAAAAAAGGCAAAAGGATAAAAATGGAAAGTTATAACTTAAAAGGAGGAGGAGCAGGACACGAGAAAAGCAAACGTGCCCGCATTTGGTAACAGACGAATTTATCGACGTTCCACGGACTACTCGAATGCGGCATTCACATGATATTCCTCTTTTATTAACCGTCCGATCTCAGCGTCTATATGCTCCACCGTTGGATGTGGGCAAACGGGGGCCACTTTTATAATGCACGGATGTTGATTTCAACGCCGCCAAGAGTCCAAGGAAGCTTGTAGCATCGTGCACCGGCCGGGTACAAAGTCCAAACCTTGCTGGTCAAACCAAACCATCAGCCCAAATTAAAGCCTCAAATTTCACTTAGGGCTTCTTATTTTCTTTTTCTTCATATAATTGAATTGAACGGCTGCACCCAGAGTCGTACATACAAACGACAAATGAGATTGTTGATAGATAATCTTGAATATTAATTATTTTCGAAATCAAATCAGAAGAATATTCTGTACATAATAGTTAAACAGATATGGTAATCTATAAATTTATTACTCCAAATATTATTTCTTTGTTTATGTGTTTTTTTTAAAAGTAAGTCATAATTGTATTCATAACTTAGGCAGAGATATTCCAAATGCATAAAGCCAAAAAAATTTCGACATGAAATATGCAAGCTTGAACAAATCATACATGGACCACAATGCCAATACAACTACAACTTTTAAACTCTCACAAGTAAAAATATAAGTAGAGACTCAATTATAAACAAAACACATATAAGTAGAGACTCAACTATAAACAAAACACCCAACTCACAAAACATTTTATATAATTATTACAACCCAAAAAAATTGTAAAATCAACCGAGATACCTAAAGTAGGATCGCCGACATCGCCACCATGAAAACATAAACACCACCGTCGAAAAACAGGTCGAGACAAAACCCATGAACAGGTTCACAACCTTAAATTGTGCATACTGAGACTTTGAGATTGATATTTGTGATCTTATACATGTGGTAAATTTGGGAAATGTTCCAATTATATTGGAGAGTTTATCTGATTTTTGGCATAAGTCATTAATTATTTGGTTTGAAAACAAAGGTCAAGGGAGTTTAATAAGTGGACCTGACATATGCCTGATGTCAGATAAACACAGGGTTCATCACGAATTCCAAAGGGAGAATTGGAGCGTGTCCTCTCAAATTGTCATTTTGCAAAATATTTGAGACTTGAACAACAAATTACAAATACTTCAATACAATCCTATGTGTAAGAGAAAAAGTATTAAATTTAGGTATTTAATTCATAAACAATACAGTAGTTAAATTTATCATTATCATTTTCTTTTTTTTAATTCATCTTTTCTTAATTTGGGCTCTTTTAATTTTTTTGTTATTTTTCCTTATGTGGAGGTGGGCCTCCACTTTGCCACTTCATTCACTAAGATTGGTGGGTAAATAGCCCATATGTATGCAATTACTTAAACACCTTCGCCGCGTCATAAATTTTGACAAACTTTTGTATAGAATTGACGGTATAGGACAACGTAGAACATCAAACCTTTGTCAAGGAGGCAAAGTGGGTCACTTCGATAAGGTGAGAGATTAGGCTTACTCTTTTCTTTTTCTGTTGAAAAAATTGGAGAGATTTGGAGGTTAAAGGGGGTTAAATAAGCTGAAAATGGTGAAAGGTATGCTTCTTGGGAAAGATCATTGATTGGGGTTTGATAACAAGGGCATTGCAATACAAAAAATCAACAAAATGACCAAGAAAGGAAAAAAGTTTATCTATTGCAATCTATAAATAGAAAGAGTAAAAGTTTATTCCACTGTCTACGAAATAGGATGAAATACAATTAAATTGTTGCAGGTTTGTCAATAATAACCAATTGAATCACATCGTGAACACTTAGGAGTTGACAGTAAAATGAGGAGAATCAACCCTCAAAAAGTTCTTTTGCAAATCTCCAAATACACGTCAATTCAATTATAGCTTGAGCATCAGTCTCCCTCCTTTGGAAAGAGTAACCCTCAGTGAGGCAGGCAAGTCCACCAGTGGGCTGCCACAAGATCGCTTGGCAATTCCTGCAGATCGAGTGAATGTAGTTTGGTGACAAATATCATAAGTTATTGTGGATTTATGAAGACTAGATGGTATTAAAAACAAAATAAAAAGATTCATATGGGCTTTAGCCCGGATAGCCCACTATGCAGATCCGTGCCTGTAACATAGATTAGATAGATAAAAGGAGAAAGAAAAAGTTGTCCACAGCAGTCATTGAAGAAAATCCTTCTTGTCCAAATTTAATCATCTTGTCGTCCTAATTAAATTATGTTAATTGACGAATCACATGGCACAGTTTGGTTGGTCCTCTCCTCTTTGATTACTTGGGACTTTAAAAAAGCGAAATTGCCCCCATGAAAAGCAGAGAAAAATCCTTACCAAACTCCTTTTTACTTCCATATGGCATATACACACCACAAATAATAAATAAACAGTTGGTGTTTGTGGTGTGCAAAAAGAAATTCTTTCTATTGACAAACAAATCAACTGCAGACCTGGAATTGTGGCCCCCCTTTTCTTCTTGCTCTTCTTGTTTTAGCATTTAGTTTGTCTGTGACCACTCAAGGGAAGGGTGGGGGCCCACATCCTAACAACCCCCAGGAAAAGAGTAGAAAGAGTAGTGAAGTTGGAGCAACCCCTACTCATTTTTGATGGACCATATGCATCTAAAATCATTACAATGCCACACTCAACTCAACCAAGGCACGCTTCAGCAGTCTCAGTAGTACTTCACCATGAAGCCATCAACCGCAGACAGATTTTCATGCATTAGCTAAGATTATATGATCAGTATCTAGGCCTTGTTGTTCAATTTTATGTATGCGTTGTCCTTGGAGTATTAATATTGTTCATGTGGGCAGGCTCAGGCTGAGGCAACTGCTGTTCCTGTACATTGCCAATGGTTTTGAGCTCGAATTGCTTGATGGTGGATGCCAGCTTCTTCATGTTGTCGTCGTAGACGTAAGGGAGCTTATTGAACCATGTGACGTTCTTCTTGGCCGACATTGGCACCAACTCCCTGCAGACCTCACCCTGTACGGTTATAGAATTATGGTAGTGATAGTAGCGGATCTTAGTCTCTGTGTCGTGCAACGTTTTTCCAGTCACATTCTCGGACATGTGTACGCCCGTCGAGAAGGCGTTCTTTGCCTGAATTGCATACTTTCTGTCCCGACGGAGCCCTCTTCTCGAGTCCCTGAATAGCAGCTTCTCGAACCCCCATTGCCTGAATCATAATTCAACTCAATTCAGTTCTACATTGTACATATATCTCAGGAGCTACAAAGCAACATTGCAACATTGCCATAGCATATATAATACATTTGACTAAAAACTATAGCAGACAATTCCCAACTGTCCCTTTGAAACTTGTAATTTAACAATTGGTCAAATTTTATCCATTCTATACTTACTTAATAAGTAATGAAATAGGCAGGCACGCAGGCAGGCAGGAACTAGGAAATTAAAAGAAATTGAAGCAAATGAATTGTGTGATAAAAACAAAAAGATGGAAATACCTGGAATAATCTTGGGTGGGATCGTTGAGGCAGAGCACACTGGACATTGGATTCTGCTCAATAGTGAATTGGGTATAATCGGAGAAGTCACTGAGAACAGATTCCAAACTGTTGCCATGGGGCAAATATATGTACTCATCCACATCGAAGTAAAAAGTCCAGTTGGCAGCGTATCTGTACCTATGGAGGCAGTCATTTACCACCAAGAACTGGTTGTAGTAATAGCCGTCGAACTCCGCCTGAGCCCTGATGTCCTGCATCGTCACCCTCCCGGCCCTCACCCACGGATCCAGTACTGCCCTTGCCTCATCCGACACCCCACCCGCGTCGTGGAACACGAAATGCGACTTCTCTCCGAAGAACCACGCGTGATATGCCATCCATTCCCTCAGCCTCGCCGCGCTCAGGTCCCCGTACAGAGACGACCCGCAATACAAATACTCGTACTGGTAAGGCGGGCGGTACTTGGACTCGTTGTAAGCCCCCGGAGCTTCCTCCAATGCCGTGAACTTCTCCATCTTTCTGGGATTTTCGCCGTAGTAGGCGTTGATGCTGAGCTTGCCGCCCGAATTGTCGTGGTTGGGATTGACGGGGAAGGTGCAATTGACGACGACGACGGTGTAGACGCGGCCGTAGCCCCAATCGGGGAGCATCATGTAGGCCAAGGCGCGGGCGGAGGAGCCGTTGGAGGAGATCCACTCGCACTTGAACCAGGGGCGCCTGTAGACGTGGATGGGCTTGGAGGCGAGGCCAACCACGGCGAATGTGGTGGGGCCGCCTCGGTAGGCCCCCATTTGGACGAAGAGAGCGGCGGCGTTACCGTATGACTGAAAGACGCGCTTGTTGGGGTCGTTGGGTTTTGGGGTGGAAAGCTTCTGCTCTGTCACTGCTGGGTTAATTGAAGAAGAAGAAACAGCTCGCAGAGATGCATTGGCAGTTAATGCAGTGGAGGAGGAGGAGCGGGTGGTGGTGGAGAGGAGGCTTTGGTAGTAGGGAGGGAGGTTCCAGATGAGCATGACGAAGGTGAGAGCAAGCAATGTGAGCACCAATGGCTTTCTCTCCAAGCAGCTGCCGAATAGTTTAGCGACGGGGCCGACGGGGACGGAGGATGGTGGGCTCTCCTTCCTCATTGCTTGGGTTGGCTAAGTCTCTGTCGGTGCTGCTGGCTGGTGGTGATGGTGGAGTTTAGGCTTTTGGCAGATGGATCGATTATAATATAACGGTACTACTACTCTCCTATACTCCTATACTCCTATACTCCTATACTCCTATACTCCTATACTGGTAGCAATAATAGAATTATAGAAGAGAATAGAGATATATCGAGAGACAGAGGAAAGAGGGTCAAATTGGGGTCCCCATCCGAGACCCACACTCTGAGTCTGTCTGATCCGGCTAAAGAGACACTCGTGCTTTTACTCCTGTTGCCAAGGCTTTTTTCTCTCTCTCTCTCTCTCTCTCTCTCTCTCTCTCTCTTTTTCTTTTACAACCTATATAGTTTGAACTACTTTAGATTAATCTAACATACAAATATAGGGATTTCAAACAAGGAAACATGCTACTTAACTTAAATCTGCATATATAGGGATTCAAACAAAAGGAAGTGCTCACTGTTTTGATCAACTGACTTAACTTAAATCCGCAATTCTTCATTTGATTGAGGATTGTTGCGGTGCCTTGTGGTTGGCAATAACATTACATAAATGGGTTACCAAACGAATAACAGCTGTCGCTGATTTATATAATTGTATTAAAATCAGTTCTCCCCACACAGAGCAGTGAGAGCTTGAGAGCAGTGCCAGTCAGCAAAAAATAATGTGATATGAATATGATGGCTCCAAGCTCCCAAGAGAATCAATTCAGTAAATTGACCAATGCCTCCTCCGGTTTTTTATCTTCTATATTCTTTAACCATATATTATGCACATTAGAAATGAAATGAAAATTAAAAAAATACCCCATGCATTACATGCAAGTTGTAATAAGTGGACATTACCATCCATTCCATTCCATATATTGAGCCATAAACTACGCATAAATATATATACATGATGACAAATAAATAAATAATTTATAGGTAGGTACAGTTTTCATGGCAATGCAATGGTCTATTATGCGAAGATGCCTATGCATATGCGCTATTGCTTCAACCACTAATCATTGCAGTTATTGTTCATAATATTCTTCGGTTGCCGTTGCCATTGGCATTGGCAATGTGAAAGATAAAGCCAAAGTAAGATAAATGATTGGGCCATTACTTAATTTTGGAACAACCTACCGCTGACCACTCACCACTCACACATTAGTTTCCCAGGAAGAGAAGCCAGCTCCACTTTACCATCTGTTTTGACTTGTATTTCCAATTTACAACTGAGAATCACCGACAATCCAACAATCCTGGGGTGCCAAGAAGCTCATCTCTCTCCATATTGGTTGCTGCTGTTAAATATAATCTAGCGACTTAAAAAATGTACAAAATGTACTTCTAAGTAATTGCTCCATAAATCCTATATCTATTAATATGACGAAGAATTCATGTAACAAATAGGATTTTTATTTGTACAATTGGTACTTTGAACTTGGAAAGAGCATGAAGAAATTAAGAATACTTCTTTATCATTTGAGTTGTTCTGTTGGATCGGTCGTTCAAGACCTTTGGTTTCTACCCCTACTCAATGAAAAAACTAGGATCACTTCTTATGGCTCGAAATTGGCCATTTGGATTTCGAGTTCTTCAAAAATTGAGATTTGTGGTTGAATTTTAGTCCATAATATGAAATTGGGAGTGTTTCAGACGACATTTTACGCTCAAGGGTTTTGGGTTGACGAAATTGCTTCTTGCAATGTCAAAGAAAGTGACAAAAATATAAACTTGTCCTTGAATTGCTACAGATACGAAACTACAATGGCAAAATTGACGGAATTAAAACAACAGGGTTAAAAGTGGTTGAACTACCAAACTACATGGACCAAAAGTGACTTTTAGCCATTCATAAATAATTGGATTTTTTTTGGACTTTTAAGAAGTTAATACATAGTGGGCTATATTTGAAAGAAGGCAAATACATAAGTTTAATATTTTTTTTGTCCCAAGTTCTATTGTGTTTGTTTTGCTCACTGTTTTCTAGCCTCAGTGCTTCATGTGTATTTGAATTTGGTTGGAACCCTCTGGTAAGGAGTTTTGTTCTTTTTTTTTTGGGTGAAAAAGAGTTTAGGAGGAGGGGAGGCTATCCCATAGGGCCATGACATACTAAGGTCTCTTTGAGGACTTACAAAGAGGATCTTAGTTCTCTTTTTGGTTTTTATAGATTACCCACCAATAAGGATTGTCAGCAACAGAACTCAAACTTAGACCTTGCTAGTGAAGAAAACGCTCCTTATCAACTCAACCAACCCTTGTTGGCGCTTTGTTGTTCTTCAATTCTATATAATTGGTCTTGTTATCAATGAATTTCCTTATCTTTTTCCCAAAAAAAAAAACAAAAACAAAAAAAACAAAAGTTATCTCTCTCCAAAAGCTGTCATCTATAGTTGTGGAATTGGATATATGGACACGGTTCTAAGATCACGCATGGAGGCACAACTTGAAGCTTAGAGCATGGATGGATTTAATGAGTACCAATAGCCTTGTAAAACATATTCAGGTTTTTTCCTCTAGGCTCTAGTTAGCGGATCTAGATCCTCTGCTTTAATTTTATTTACCATGATATGCTTGACTTTGTCCTCCACATACCACTTCATTAAAATTTAATCTAAGGGATATAAATTATACACATCATCTTTAAAATAAAAACCAAATTTACTCCTAATCAAAAATGAAAAAAAAGCCCTAACTTGACTAACTTCAACTTAACGTCTCCAACAATTGTTTTTTTTTTCTTCATTCTTCTTCCTTCTCAGCACGTCCCCTTCCCCCAAAAATCTGAGCGCCCATCCATCTTTTCTTTCACCTGTAAAAAAACATATCTCTTCCCATATATTATCCATTGCAGATGGCGAGGGTGGGTCCAAGAGTGATTCATTTGCCATCCATGTGGATTTCATGGTTGACGCTCCTTTCCTTGCGGACTTGGTTACCATACCAAGCAGCTTGAACAGGTAAACCATAGTTCGATGTTTTTTTTTAATAAGAAAATTTCCTTTCACAAGGCTATATTACATAACACTTACTAATTCCAACATAACTTGTTTTTGCAATGCAAATGCTAAAATAGTTGTCATACCGAAGTTTTTGTTTATTAAAAAAAAAGAAAAAAAAAGAGCAAATGACAAAAGCTATGTTATCTAATAATAAACAACTTTTTCATATAGCCTCTCTGCGCCTACGAGAGGCTTTTTATTTTTATTTTTTAAATTTAAATTTATTTTAGAATTTAAAAAAATAATAGGTAGTTGTGTTCTATAAAAATCGAATCAATTATCTGATTTTTCTTTTAATTTAAATTTTTTTTCAATACAAAAAGTGTGAATTTACCATATTATCTTTATTTAATTAATAATCAATTCTTAATGTTTATATTAACCAATGACATTTTCTGGTATTTTGAATGTTTCATCATTCTCTACCTTTTGCTTTATATATATAGATAAATCGAATTCAAAATTTATAAAAGGAACCATTTTTATAAGGTTAGTTATTTACTTCCAATATATCTACATATAAATAAGTTAAAGCCAAAAAAAATCTGAAATATGAAATATGGGGCAATTTTGGGTACCAAAAAAAACTCATTCTGATCCATCCCTACCCAACCCCACCTCCTCCCTCCGGAATTCAATTCCCAGGAATTAGACCCTTGATTTTATGTGGGGCCCGCTTTGCCTTTCTTTCCCATTATGCAAATAAACAGAGGGGTAATCGGGAATGTGAAGGACTCGCATTCCAGTCCCACCCTAAGTATGTTAACATGCCTTTATTGTTGTTTGTACATTGGTCTAGCTGATTGCCTGTTTCAAAGGCTGTTACGCCCCTGCATTAAAGGATCTTGTGTGTTCTGTTATACTTTCTAGGTTAGTTTAAATGAGGCTTTCCCATCCATCAAAAGAAAGGGGAAAACAAAAAAGCTAGAGTGAATTCCCCACTCCAATTTTATCCACTTACAATCTATTTTATAACTAAAAAAGGAATGTAAGTAGATAAAATTGAAGTGAGGAAATCATTACCCAAAAGTAATATCAGTAACTACATGAAGGGATTCTTTTGCACAAAATCTTTGATCTAAACAATATGGCAAGGAAAAAAAAAGGAAATAAAGGCATGATGGTCATTCAAGTTCTGCACATAATGCAATGGAATATACTACCTGTCTCCAAATGGTCACTATTTTTCTTTCATTTGAACTACAAGGCAAATATAAACCAAGGGGATATGTTCAAAGTCAGTATTTTTCTACATGATGTATAAAAACAGATAAAAAAATCAATGGAAAAACAATAACAAAATATCCACCTTAAATGCGTCATTGGAATGCACTCCAGAGCCTAATAGTATTATTGCACAACAAAGAGTGAAGTTCTTTCATCATTAGCTGCCCCATCCGTGAGCATGACCACAAACCCGGAAGTCATGAATCATAACGGACTTATCCTTTTTGCTCTACACCTTCCAGTAGAGAATTCTAACATTTGCAATTCAATATACTATATGTAATCTTAAGGCATGTTTCTACTAATTTCTTGCAGGGGCACAAAACCAATCACTGTCTCACTTCTCCTACCTGTGGCCCTGGCAGATACTGGTTACTTAACAATCATGGCAAACATTCATCTAAGTTTCTGAGTTCTTCAATTGCTTGGGAATTAAATTACCACAACTGAATGTAGTATTTAATGCATAAGATTTTGTAAGAGAGCACCTTAGTGTATCTATATACTCAGTACTCATGATTTTGCAATTGACTTACAATCCAAATTAATCTTCAATCTTAAATCATCATGTTCCTTTGACCTAGCGAGTTGCATTTGTCTTTGCATGACCAGAAAACGTGGAAAGGGCTACTGAATTCTTTAAGAAACAGCATGCAGTATGGAATGTGTAAGCAATATGGAATCAGAGCCCCACCTAAAAACAATCACATGAAAAGCAAAATTATTAAGAAACTGGTGAAAGATCAGTGAATAACTTGTAAGTTTCTATAAATAAAAGTAAAAAGACCCTGAGGAGCAAACCCTAGCTGCCACAGGAACAGCTAGGGGCAAGCTCTAGCTGCACCCTGAACTTGCCTTCATAAGTCAGTTGAATATAATCAGTATCATTTATTGGGGTTGCGAAAAATAGATGCTGATCTCATTAGGAACCTAGAATACCCATCTTTCCGGTTCTTTAAGTTCTACACCATCGAACCATGTTTGATGCATGTGCAGCCAAGTATAAGCATCCGGTACCTCTGACTAGTGAAGCCACAACAGATCATGAGTTAAGACAATTACCACATTAAGATCTCTCCACGATACCAAATTAACAAGGGACATGACTTTAGAAGGAAGGAAACACCCAGCTAAGGTTGTACCTTTGAACTCATCAGGACTGTAGTCAGAGAGCATTGCCGCTCATCATCTGCAACAATCAATCAATGTCTCATCAATACAAATCAGTAAATAAAGAATTTTTAGTTTAAATGACATAATGACAAAGACAATATCCGTTATCTAAGGGGCAGGGGGAATTCAAAATAACAATTCTATCATTCACGAATTTAGTTGCCCCTTGGATGAGAGTCCAATGAGAGGTTTCAAGGAAATGAGCTGAAAAGGAAAATTATTAATCTATTGGGACATACAAAGGAACTCTGCCTAGCTTCAGAACTAATAGAGCTCATACACAGGTTGAATAGTAAACATTTTTCATTATCTTTTTTCTCTCAGCTTTGATTGATGTTTGGAGATTCGTCCTTTATTCAGATATTTACCTATTGACTAGCCACCACTTTTTTATTTGTTGCAACAATTAGCCACCAGTTAAACTAATAGAATATGTATTACCTTTTCTCCATTCTTTGAATAAATCTACTTATTGTGCCAGAAGGCAATCTCACCATTCAATTCCCACTTATCAAACTTCACAAGCCATGTGTCTGAGCCAATTTGAGCCGAGGATAATCGATCCACCCATGTCCAAAACTGTTTTCCCTGCTTATCTCCATACGACTTTGCCATTGCATCCATGCACTGGTGGATAAGTAGCTCAACTCCCAAGGGATGGACAAAGATAGCCGACGGGTGCTAGAGAATTGGGGAAAAATAGCAAAACCAAAATGAGAAAGTAAGCAATCTACCAAAACACAACTGCAACAGCACCAAAATATTCTGTCAACTTCTACAAAGTACAGAAAGCCCCAACAAAAAGAAAGAGAAGAAATGATTAGCACTTCAAGATCTGATAATTCAACAAAATCTCTGAGACCGGAGCCTTGTCAGCTTTAGGTTAAGTGTAAGGGAAGGTGGAGTCGATCATAAGTGGAAGTTCAAATATTGTCTAGAAAAGAAAGTTTTTGGTGTATTGAGAATTGAAAGCTGTTAGGGAAACATGGCAAAATCCTTAACAGTACAAATTTCATTCTCTAAAAGCATAAGTCTTCAATATAAGTTGGCAAGCATAAAATGGTCGTGCAACGATTCCAGTACTAAAGATTTAAATCAAAAACTTTAGAAAAGAAACCATATCCGAACTATCTGCGGTCATTCCCAGTCTAGGGTCATATTATATGGCTACTGGTCTAACCTTTCCTTTTTCACTTTTCGGTTTGGTCATTCATCATTAATCACATTTTTTCACATACATTCATTAATCAGCACTAAATCTTCAACTCCTGCAACATCGGGTATTACTACAGCATTGCAACCTTAATTGCACGTGATCAAGACACCCTGAGAATTCAAGGCTAAAAATTTAGGTTGAAAGAATTCAGGTGCTTGGAGAATTAAAAGACCAAATGACACGTCAAGACTGTTTTTAAGTTTTGCACATAGAAGGAGAAAAAACATTAGAAATGACACTTACAAAGACTGATTTCAAGTTTTGAAAATACTGCTCAGATTTCTCCACTTCTGCACGCCGCCATCTCTCATAAAACAAATAGAACTTTACAACCTCATGTGCAGGACTAAAATTCTTCACTTTGCACTTTTGGAAATCTTTGAAATCTCTTGGAGATACATTTGGACCCAGATGAAAATTTCCAATGGCTTGTATTATCCCAGCTGCACATCTCTCTGTTGCATGAAGTATATTGGGATTTCTGTGTGCATTTTCTGCATACCACTGCAACAATTCTTCTTTTGCATTACTGACCTGCGTGACGTTTGACATCATGACCACACAATTCAAATATTTTCCTTACGAATAATTTAAGAATATTATTATCCAAACAAAACGAAATAGGCAATGTTTATAACTTACAGACCATCACACCATACACTTCAGGAAGACTGAATAGTTCGGCATCATTTCCAGAGTCACCACAAACCAGAGTGTTGTAGGGAAGCTTCCCCTCAAGTTTGAATTTCTTCAACAAATATGCAAGAGCTTGCCCTTTGCCCGCCCCTTTTGGTAAAACGTCCAAAGCAATCCCACTGCTATAAATTATCTTCACATCTAACTGGCCAAATATATATGAAGATCAGAAACAGATATCACTGACATTGAGAAAAGATGCATTCAAGTAGTAAAAGCCAGTCCACTTCTATTGAGGGATCCCTCAAATTTGAGGGGCACCCTTTAGGGTCCCCTAAGAATTTTTTTTAAACAATTCAAACAATCTATTTTTTAAGTCTACATCCATAGATCATCCTTGCAAAAAATTAGACAAATCAGAAACCATTTCGACATCCAATTGTGTCATACAAAATCAATGAATACGGTGCTTCAAGAAAATACTAAAATTTAAATATTTCAATTGCATGGTCAAATAATATTGGATTCAAGTGATTTTTTGTAGTGATGATCTTTGAATGAATATCTACAAAATAGATAGTTTGGATTAGTGAAATACAATACAAAGTGGGCCCTACAAGGATTTCCCTCAAATAAGTTATTTGAGGGATCCCTCAACTGAAGCTCCCTATATATATATCAGTCCCGATCTCTTGGACTACAGGGGTTCAAGAGATTTGTGGTCACTCACCGTTAGATGTAAATTCAACGGTGAACTCACTCTTGCACTCATTTTAAGAAACTTTTTTGAACCATTGGATTAATATCCAACGGTGGGTGACCACAATCTCTTGAACTCCTGTGGTCCAAGAGATTTGGACTGAGAAAAAAATATAAGAAAAAAAATAAGAAAGAGTCTGCCAGTAGCACTTTAAAATGAAACTGTCAATGCTCTAGCCATGAGGTTTATAAAGAAAATAAAATGTACTCTTACCCCACGTTTCTCCAACCGTTGTGATAAAACATTCATTATCTCCAATGCCACAACCTTCTCTACATAAAAGCTAACCTTGTGCGGTCGTTGCTCTCCCTCTTCCTGCAATAATCTCATATATGGGGACATCAAATTTCGAAATACATACAAGTCTTTACCTTTAACTGGTAAATATAAGAACTAATATCGTGCTCACACTAGTTACAATGTGGGAATCATGACCCTTCTTTGCTTCGATTCAATACATCATATCAGCATGCCACGTTATGTATCTAAACTAGGGGTTACCGAACCGACTAGCTATGGGTTTAGGGTATTTCTCTTTCCAGTGTCGAGGTCCAAAGTTTAATTGCCCCCTTAAAAATGGTACCAAATAATAATAATAATAATAATAATAATAATAATAACCTTAGCAAAGGAAAAGTACCTGAGGAGTAAGTTGAGGAAATTTATTAGTTTCCTCAACAACAATGTCTCTATCCCACTTGTGATTCAGATGTTGCTTCCACCCATCATCAGGAACCATAGCCTCACCATAACCATACATAATCTCAGTTCCCACAGACATGATTGTTATATCAGGCGTTAGCAATGGTTTCTCATTCCTCAATGGTTTGTAAGTGATTGGTGATCTTCCGGTTGAAAATACCAGCAGAGAATCATGGCGGTAATTTGCTTCCCACAGCGCGTTGAACCTCAGAAGAGAGAGATTTTCAGGCTCATCATGATCCACCTGAAAAACAGTATCAGAATCACAAACCCATTTGTTTTTCTCTCTCTTTTTAATTATTGTTATAGGAAATAAAGCATTAGCTAATGAAGGAATGTAAGTGTGAAAATGTACCATGGTGTAATCAAGATCTGAGACTAGCATGAGACGAGCAGAGCCATTGAGACGAGAGTTCATGTGGGTTTGATTGGGTTGGGCGCCTTGGCTCACAGAGTTCTTTATTTTTACACAATTAGACGAGATTCATCGCTTTGTTGGTTGAAATTGAACACATAATCTGTACAGATCCATCTTTGTCAAAAGAGGAAAACATTAAACTTTGTCCTTCCAATTTTTGATAAAGGCTTTTTATCACAAATGGTATATGAGGTTTGCCAAATTATCACTTTTGGAACTTTATGTATTTTTTTTTCCTGATATTATTGGACTCTTATGTTACACCTCATACATCAATTTGGTTCCGCTGTCACGTTCCGTCAAAATTTTCCATTAGATTGTTGACATGGATGCCATGTGGATTAAACGATGTTTTAAATATTTTGAGTTTTATCACAAACGGTCCCTGAGGTTTGCAAAATTATCACTTTTGGAACTTTATATATATATTTTTGACATTATTAGTCCTTATGCTACACCTCACACATCAATTTGATCCCACCATGAGATTTTATTAAATATTTTTTATTAAATTACTGACATGACACATATGTAGTGCACACATAGCCAATGAGAAAATGTCAAGTGGATCTAAAGGAAGAAATGTTTAAAAGAAAAAAGTTTAACATTTAAAATCTTTTTAAAATCATTTTTTAAAAAGAGAGAATTTTCAAAACATACAATTTTTTTATTCAAATCCACTTGGCATGTTATTAATGGACATGTTGGCTTCACATACATGTCGCGTAAAATCCGTTAGGTTTTGTTGAAAAACCATAAACCCTTTAAAAAATAGGTTAACATTTAAAATATATATTTTTTAAATTTAAAAAAAGAGAAAAGTTTAAAAATATAAATATTTTTTTTATTTAAATCCACTTGACATGTTATTATTGGACATGTAGGCTCCACATATATATGTCATGTCAAATCCATTAGGTTCTTTTGAAATTTTCATCAATTTAATAGAAATTTCAACATAACCTAACAGATTTGATGTGAGATGTATATAGAGCATACATGTCCAATAATAACATGTCAAGTGGATTTGAATAAAAAAACAAATTATGTTTTGAAAATCTTCTCCTTTTTTAATTAAATTTTTTCTAAAAGATTTTAAATGTTAAACTATTTAAAAAATATATAAAGGACCAATAATGTCAAAAAAAATAAAAATAAACTACCAAAGGTGATAATTTCAAAATTTGTAATAAAACCTAAAATGTTTAATCTATGTGGCGTCCACGTTAGCAATCTAAAGAAAAATTTTGACGGAACGTGACAGTTGCACCAAATTGATATGTGAGGTGTAATATAAGGGACCAATAATGTCAGAAAAAACATAAATGACCAAAGGTGATAATTTGGCAAACTTCAGGGACCATTTGTGATAATAACCCTTTAATAAATTCAAGGTTAAAGTGTTGCTTCCTTGAATTTCAATTTGCCCTCCATTGTAAATGATGGATGGCACACATATAAAAAATGAGGAGCAATATTGAGTGAAATACCATGTTTTACGGAAAGTTGAAGATTTATAGGCTTAGTGCCTTAATGGCAGGGGTTCGAAACTTGTTGGAAGCACTTTGTGGCCAGGGGCAAGCCGAATCCAGAGCGAGAATTAATCCCACCCTTCGGGTGTGGGGACATCTCATGGTATTTATCAAAAGAAAAAAGGAGAAGACTTATAGGCTTAGTCACTATTCACAAATAGTAAGAAGCAATTATGAATTAATGTTTTAGAATGAATGCTTAGTTATGAAGCATATATCATCTGCCTATAAATAGAGGCAATCTTCATGCTTTTAAGAGACACCAATCCGAATAGAAAAGAGAGAGAGAAATCTGAGAATTAGAAAGCTTTATCTAAGTGAGAAAATTCTATTAGTGTAAAACCACAAGAGCAAATACAATTCCACCCTAATATTCAGTGGTACTTTCATACTCTGCCTATTTATAACATGTTATCAGCACGATAGTTTCTTTTCTTTACCTCTAAATTTTTCCAGCTAAACACTATATGGTTATTTCTCTATCTCCTCATTGTCATATGTCTACTCTCACTTTACTACTACGACGACATGCAAACTTTCTTACTCTCTGTCATATGTCTATTAATGTTTATTTAATTTATTTTTCATACTGTAATTTGGAACGGTGCGGTTTTATCCCCCTTCCTATTATTATATGGTGGTGTAGTTCCATTGCCTTTACACAGCCGAAATATGGCCATTTCGTAGCTCTCAAACACCCTTACATAGCCACTCAGGTGGCTTAACTCTTTATCAAGGAGATTTTTCGTCTTCACGGTCTACCTTACACCATAGTGAATGACCGTGATCCTACGTTCTTGAGCCAGTTTTGGACAACCTTCTTTCACCTACAGGGGACCAAGCTTTGCCACAGCTCTGCATATCATCCCTAGTCCAATGGCCAAACTGAGGTCTTGAACCATACCCTTGAGCATTATTTGCGTTGTTTTGCAGGGGATAAACTCCCTAGTTGGTCCACATGGCTCCCATGGGCCGAATGGTGGTATAATACTACATACCATTCTGCCATTCAACCTCATGAAGCCGTCTATGGGAAACCACCTCCAACTATTCAATCTTACATTCCTGGCACTTCCGCAGTTGAAGCTGTGAATACTACACTCTAGGACAGGGACACTATTCTTTGCCAACTCCGTCTCAACTTGCAAGTAGCTCAACAACGGATAAAACATTTCACCGATCGGCACCGTACTAAACGGGAGTTTCAACTTGGCAACATGGTTTTTTTTTTCCGCTTACAACTGTATCTTCAAGCGACTGATGTGATTAATTGCAAGTGGACAATATCGCTCAAATTAATATAGTAGTAAGTAGAGTATCATTCTAACAGGGATCAAATAATCTATTAAATATTAGAGTGATTTATTTATAATTATATTTGAATTTAAATGAAAAGAAAATTATGATGATTAATCTAAATAAGCAAATAAAATAAATTGAGATCAAGTAAATAATAAAATATAAAAATAAAGATGATAAAGCATTAGGGCACCGATTTCACCTAGCTAATCCCACCCAAATCCTTCTAGATTGTTGATCCTAATTACCTAACATGTTGATAATCGTTTTCCCTTACCTCACTAATACTCTCTTTCGAGTTATATTAGTTGTATTCCTTACCATCAACCCACTCTATTCCTAATTATGGATTTAGATAGCTAAGAACCCATTAAGATTTGTGGAAAACAATAAAGATTACACAAACCATAACCTAGTCTTCCGAGTCGGCTATGTAATTTATAGTACTTGTTACAAGAAGCTATTTACTAGGAATCTCCTTCCGGTCTCAACCTAATTCTTCCAATCATGCAATTAGTAGCCAATTAATTGAAAGCATTAAGAATGGTAACAAGCACTCAACATGTATAGATAAATAAAATTAACAATATCAAAGAATTTGAGTATTCATAGTTAGGCTACGTCGTAGCCCTAGTAAAATAAATTAGTTCATGAAGGACTTATTGAGAATCATGATGGTTGATGAAGACATGGAAGACACCGAATTCTCCAAGTAGAATGCCAAGGTTGCGCAAGCTTTCTTCGTATTCTCTTTTGGATATTTCGGCTCTGAGTATGAATATGTAGGATCATGGATCATGGAGGATGGATGGGTAATGGATGGATCCCTTGAATAATGACCTAAACTTTCTATTTATAAGACTCCTAGAAATCCTATCTAAAGTGTAATTACAATTGTTATAAAAGTAGGATTCCTTCTAAAATAAGGTCTTCTTTATTTCTCCTTATTTGACTTGATAAGACTCTAATCTTCATCTTCTTGCCCTTTTTAGCACACTTTCTCATATTTCCACAAATTCTTCACAAATCTCACAAAATCAATTAAAACAACCAATTTAATCAAAGGAAATTAACAAATAAATAAGTAAAGGAGGCATAAAATATATATATAAAATATAGGCTTATCAGCGACCATCCATAATCCCCAACATCCTGAACTGTCTCCCAGATACTATGGTCCATTTCAGGTGCTTTCTCGAGTGGGTTCGGTAGCCTACAAATTACATATGCCTGGCAACTCCAAACTTCATAATGTGTTCCATGTATCTTTGCCCAAAAAGAAGGTGGGTGCCCATGTCACTTCTTCTCCCACCCTACCTCCTCTATCCGCTGGGGTAGCTGACTGGGTGCCAACTAAGGCGTCAAACAGGGGAATTTTCAAGTGCTAGAACAAACCGGTTGCTCGCTGGCTCATTCAATGGGAGGCCTTCTTGAAGAGGATGCAACCTAGGAAGATGCTTCAGTTCTCCAACAGTATTTTCCATCTTTTCAGCAATTGAGGTCATGGCTGTTCTTAAGTAGGTGGAAATGTTAGGACCCAACCCCATTTGGGCCTAATACTCTTTACAGCCCACTTACGATACCTTAGTATTGCTTTAGTATCACCTAGCTAAATATCCACATAATAACAACTTTGGCCTTTCCGCATTTGCAGGAATTTTGTTAGAACCTTTGCTAGATCATAGCCAGCTGGCCACGATCAGGAATTGTATAAACCCTCTTTCTCTGTTGCTTGAGAGGTAGGAATGAAATGAATTGAATTTCCTTTTCTCCCTTTCTCTGTTTTTTCTGTAAGTTTCCTTTTTCAGATCTAAGTTCTACCAAAGAAGCAGAAAGATATTAAACAAGAGGTGGATCCAAAAAGGGGTAATGAAATCGAAGAGTTGTCATGAAAGCTCCTTGTCGAAGAGTTGTCACTTCGCTTGTTCAAATTGCAAATTGCAAAGCGTCTCTCTCTCTTCATTGTTTATGTAGCTACATTGCATCTCGTTCAGCAATCGCTCAAATTCCTCCGAAATGTTAACATATGTGGACGTGGGTGTGGCTTGGGATACAGCCAGAGTCCCTAGTAAGATGATTAATAACAAAGAGGTTAAACTCATTGCTTAATTCAAATTTTCCAAGAACAACATAATTGGGATTTGCTTTTGAAAAGTCTCAAATTCTAAATGGTAATTGGAATCTCAATTTTACATTTCCTTTAAGCCTTTCTGTTTTTTTTATACGCGTCTAATTGAATTTGTTTCCAATTGTATTTCTTTCCCAATTTATAGAGATTTAAGTCTTCACAATTACAACTCTCGAAAAAAATAAAGATATTGGAGCACAAGATTTCCAGTACACGGATAACAATAATACTGGGACAACTGCTCTTAAAACCCACTTAAATACAAATGTCAAAGAATGAAAAAATATTAACAGATACAAGGGGCTTGTAGCCAAATCCTAAAGTGGTTAAGAGCATTTACACCTACATTCGAGGTCCTAGATTTTATTCCCCTTTCCAGTATCGCTTGTATACAAAATAAAAAAATAAACAGAGAATCTGTTGCTTTTTCGAAATTCCAATCATCACAAGAGAAGATAGAAAAGAAATTAAAAAAGAGGGGTGCACGAGGAGAAAATTAGAGTGTGAAAATGGCTTTGATAGATTTATTGCATTTCCGAATTTTAAAAGAAAACATTTGTTACCTAATCTACTTTAATAAATGTAAAAATAGAACACCTAAATAGATAGTTTCCGTTTCCACTAAGAATATAGATAGCCTGAAAACATGTTATATAAAAGTTGCAATTCAACTACACTAATACGTTAACTTCTATCTTCACTTCTGTACAGACTTGCAGTTAACACACAGCAGCTGATAGCTCGATCCTCAGAGTGGTTCCTTTACATTGACACTTTCGGATACACCTGAATACAACAACTCAAATGCCAATTCTGAAAAGCACAGAAATATCATGAGCTGAGTGTCCCGGTCAAAGGAACTTCTTCAGGTACATGTGGATCTGTATCTGTCTTGATAGAATTTAGCAGCTGGAGCTTCTTCTGTTCCTGCGCTCTCCTCCTATCAGATTCAAGGATAATGAGGAGGGCGGTGATATCGGCAGGGTTCACCCCACCAACTCTGCTTGCTTGACCAATGGTTTGCGGCCTCACCTGAGAACATGGTATTTCGATTAAACCAGATTTTTCAGACAAAAGCAATATACAACTGCTATAAGATGCATAATGAGAGCAACAGCTTGGTAACAGAGGAAAGATCACTTTCAGAAGCAAGCCTGAGACGAAGCCTGTTACCCGAGTATGACAATGAGGTCACTTTGTTCCGAAGAGAAATGCCCATGGTAGTAAAAGAGTTGGCACAAATGGATAAATAATAAATCAATGGTCAATTTAAGAGTTCAGTGCCAAGAGTTAGCGAGACTCAATGTATTTGGTATCAAACAGATCAATCTCTTTTAAGTTTCTCTCTATCTTCTACTTTTTAATTTGTTTTCCTACATCAGTGCATCTTCTTAGTCATCAACAATCATAATTTCTCCAGGGCGATTTAATATCATGTAACAGATTCAGTATCATGCTTCCAATTTTCATCCACCAGTCGTTACATTGGGTGTCTATGTATATACAATGACCCCAAAAAAAGGGGAGAATTTAGAACAGGAGTTTGGAACTACAACCATTTTGTCAATAATATAATAAAGAAAATTCATTTCTGCCACATACTGCTGAGTTTTAGGCATTTTGGTAAAAGGTTAAGCCATAATGAAATTAGATATTGGACGCACCTTGGCGAGCTTCTCACGTGCTTCAAGTGATAAAGTTGTTATTGCATAGTAATCTAAATCCTCTGGAAGTCGTCTATGCTGTTGATGGACCATCTATAAGTAGAACACGAGTTGGATAATATGAGAGGATGGATAAACAAAATACAAAATCGCTAAGTATCTAAAAATCCTATTTGAGATTGTTAAAAATACGAAATCAATCAGTGAGTTGCATGATTTAAAGTAGTAATGAAGATTTCTTGAAAACAGATAATATCTCTCACTTGTTGGAGTTGGATCTGCTGCCGCGAAATGAAACCCTCATACTTGATGTCAATCTCCACACATTCCTTTTCTATTCTAGACAACAGTTTACTCCCAAAACCATGCTTATCAAGAACTTTATACTCTATGTGTGGTTTCTTGAGAAGACTCTCCAGAGTAGTAAAGTCTTTCACTGGCTGACTAGAAAGACGAGTAACATCAGCAGCCAATTCCCCCCCCTGATAGAAGTACAAAACAATAACTAAAAGTTCCAGTTATATATCCCAAAACCCGCAGATCTCAGTTTATTCAACTTTTTAATACTATACCCAACTTAATGAACTATTTAAATGGGAAAAAATCAAAAGGAATGAACCATGGTTAAGTGACAAAAAAAATGGAGAACAATAACTTTATAAATTAAAACATGATAAAAAGAAGTATACAACAAATGACATGAATACTTTGCAAGAAGCATTCCAAAAGGCAATGAAATTTAGAGGTCACATTTTTATCTGTTGCTCCTATAAGAGTAACATGTGGATCAAAATAATGCATTACATATGATGGGCATATTTTCCTATTACTCAATGAAAGAATAGACAGGCATTTGATAAAAAAACCACTAGAGAAGATTATGCCATGGAGTGAGTTCAATTAACAATAACAAGATTACGGTTTTAGAAGTTTCAGAAGACTGTCTTAGGGATTCTAATTCAATAACTTCAATGGAACAAGTCAGTCACTTGTACCACAATGCTCCGTGAGTTATTTCCCACATCTGAGTTTCTTCCCGTTGTAAATTTTCTCCACAAGTTGCTTTAAAGTTTCAATTTGA